CAGCGTGTGTCAGTCATCGAGCAGTCAGTCGGTCAGTCATCACAGATGCAGACAGAGACAGCAAAGCACAAGCATCGTCTTTTCATCCACCCCGGAAAGATCGACATGAGACCTCGCAGAGACGGCGCCGAAGCTTACCAGCTTTTCGATAGCAAATCATGACAGCAACACTTGCGACCAACCAGTCCATGGTTATCATTTCTGAGGGAAGGATGATGGAAAGACAGCAGAGAATCGTCCACTTGGCATCTGCCTTGCCATGCCGCGCCCATTCTTTGAATCCCGCGTATGGAGTATTCATATGGCAAAGCGAAAGGAGGAAGCAAAACCTGGGCGGTATTCTACAAATTTAGACGCAGTCGGGCTGGTACCACGGTACGGAGAACAATACAAGCACGAATATACCTGCAGTAAGAGACGCAGTGGAAGACGCAGTCGGCGGTGGCCGAAGGACAGACGGAGAGAGGGCGGGCGGGATGACGGGAGTACTCGGTACTCACTGGTGTTTGCCAAGAAAGGCATGCTAAGGGACTCCAGGGTTGACCTGGATGAAGCAATAGGTACTGCAGCAGAGCATCATAGCTCCATTTTCTTTCGATTCGGACTTTTCACTTTGCCCAGTCCCAGCGTCCCACGCACCAAAACGGACCACATACGGATACCGCCCGACAGTTCCCCCCTCCCCTGGTCTCGGTCAGCTGTGTAGGGACGGGAGACTCGCGCCCACAAGGAACGAAAGGTGGTCAAAGGTCCTCCGTACTCCGTACCCACGATCAGGTACCTTACAAACCCGTCGGCCAGCCCACCCAAGAGACAAAGTCCGCGTACCGTATACCTTGTCGCGAGGCAGTCTGGGTACCTACGGTACTCGTACGTTCCCTCCCCTTCCTCCCCCTGGTACCTCGCTCCGGTCCTCACTGTCCTATGCGAGAAGAGGCGGAGAGCAAACTAAGGTCGCCCACACTCCACACACCACAGAACGACGACCACCCACACCCACCAGGTTCTGCTTGCCCAAGCCCCAAGGCTCACCTTCCTCGCAGTCGCTGCACCCAAAAATCTCTCGGCTTCTGACAAGCACCCTGGTCCCCGCCGCTTCCGTAGGCCGGCTTGGGCAGTCTTGGTACCTTTCCGCTGTGTCTTGGGTGTCCTTGGTACTTGTCAGTCCACACACTTTTCGTTCAAAGATGGATTTCCAAGAGTTCAAAGGTCCAGAGCGACTTTGTCCCAAAGCTCGGCCTCCATCTGCAAAACTCTTGGGACCGTGGACCTTGTCTCTTGTCTTGTCTCCGTTCTCACTCTATTCCGTCTCTGCCTTACCTTAACCTACTTTGCCTTACCCTGCCGCTTTGCCCGCCTGTTCCGCTGCCTCATCATACATATCAATCTAGTCATCCACACTTTCCGTAACTTTGTCGCTTGTCCCATTCCTTCTTGACCTCCTCCCCTCCCTCTCCAAATACCTGCTCCCTCCAACCTCTCCTTTGGTTGCTCGTTGATTATTCACCTATTTCCTCCCTCTCCTCCGGTGAATACCAACCAACTCGCCGATACTCGAAGCATCAGTGGAATTAGGAATTTTAGGGATTCCAACAGGACGGTTCACTGCGACGTGACGTAGCTGGGTCAGCGAGCAAGACAGATTCCAAGACAACACACACAACGCCTGCTGGATGGTTCGGTTTTAGTCAGAAACGGAAAGTCGACGCACCCCCAGTAGAAGACCAACTCGCCCTTTGGTCCTCTTTACCGTCACCTATTACACCTTCCAACTTCGCCCCTCGCATTGCGTCGCGATTCTCGACTTCCTTCCTCTCCGAGGGCATCAGTAGCCATGCAGGACTTCAGCACTTTCCTGAAAGGAAAGCCCACGCTGCCATCTCTATGGACCGGTAACCTCAACTTCGCCAAGCTCAACCCCATCCCCCACCGATACCGACCCAGTCGAGCAAAGAGAAATCAGAAGAAGCGCGCATCCGGAAACTACACTGGTGCCGAAGATGTCACTTCACTGCAAAAGTCTCTCAACCCCCTCGACACATTACGGAAACTGCAAAATCACAAGTGGCGTCTCCTCGACCTGCAGTACACGATCCTCGTCGCCCTCATCATCTTCTCGCTCTGCATTACGCCCTCAGCGCCACTAATCAAGACCCTCGCCGTCACTGGTGGCCTCCTGCTTTTGACGATACCCGTCACCAGCCAGTTCTTCTTCCCGGGCTTGAGTATATGGGCATACCTCATCTATTTTTTTTGTAGCCGGTAAGTTGACTTGCTTGTGGTGTAAGTCTGCCTGGCTCGAATGCTAATTCAAGATCAGCTTCATCGATGCGAAATACCGCCCCCACATCTGGGTTCGCGTCCTCCCCGCCCTCGAGAACGTCCTCTACGGTGCCAACCTCTCCAACATTCTGTCCGCTCACACCCATCCGGTTCTCGACATTCTCGCCTGGATCCCGTACGGACTTGGCCACTTTGGCGCTCCCTTCATCTGCGCTGGCTTCCTCTTCCTCTTTGCCGCTCCCAAGACGCTTCCGATCTTCGCCAAGTGCTTCGGATGGCTGAACGTGCTCGGCGTCACCATCCAGCTCGTCTTCCCCTGCACTCCTCCGTGGTACGAGAACGAGCATGGCCTCGCCCCAGCTGCCTACGGCATGTCCGGATCCCCCGCTGGACTGGCCCGCATTGACGCTATCCTCGGCATCGATATGTACACCACCAGCTTCTCGACCGCTCCGGTTCCTTTTGGCGCTTTCCCGTCGCTGCACGCTGCGGACGCCGTCATGGAGGCTCTCATCCTGAGCTACTGCTTCCCCCGCTTCCGCCCTCTGTTCGTCATTTACGTTGGATGGATCTGGTGGGCAACCATGTACCTCAACCACCACTACGCAGTCGATCTGGTTGGCGGATCTCTGCTCTCGGCTGGAATTTTCTACTTCGCCAAAGCTCGATACTTGCCTCAGCAGCAGGCTGACAAGAAGACTCGCTGGGAGTACGACTACGTTGAGATTGGCGAGCAGACCAAGGTTTTCGACGAGGAGTACGGACGGATGTACAACATGGGATACCTTCAGCGCCGCGGCAGCTCCGACAGCGATGAGTGGACAGTTGGCAGCAGCTCTAGCTATAGCACATCTAGCCGGGGTAGCGGAAGTTTGAGCCCCGCCCTTTCCGAAGAATCCGGTCGCAGCATTTTCAGTATCGAGATCAGACCCGACAACGACAGATACGAAATCCCCCAGCTCACAGAGGTGGCTGTGCAGTAAACACCTCTCGTCACACGCGCAGACCTATTTAGAAACACGATGAACAAAGCACGCAGTGCCGCGAACCCGAAAGGCGGCGGCGGCGCCGGATCAACCCTGCAGCTTGCACTGAGAACCCTCGGACGATTCTTCGAAACCATGAACCCAAACACCCCCCTTAACCAACACCTCTTTGTTCAATTCTCATCATCAGCACTTTTTTTTTTCACTCGAAACGGATACCACTTTGCATTACCTGTACCAATTGCATCAGAAGCACAGCAACGGCGCAATAGTGGTTTATTTTACAAACGACAGAAACAGCCGGAGACGCAACGATCTCGACAGGCTTAGGAGTAACGGCCTCATGGATGACCACAACAGCAGAAGAAAGACCTACGGAGTCGGGGAAGGGGCAGCAACGGAAGAGATGGGGGACATGGGATGATATAGAGTCCCCCCGTACATATTAATGTGTTCAATGTCGAGATCAATCTGGATATCGTCTGGCATCTAGCCAGGATGGGATGGAGGTTGATCTCTGGCGCCCGACCAGCAGGAAGGCGGGCCCTATGTAATGTGGAGGCATGAAGGGGAAGAGTATACCACGAGTAGAGGTAGAGCAGTCGCTACTGAAGTAGTTGATGATGTGAAGAAAGAATAACGAGATTACCTATTCTCTCGATACACATGTTCACTTTTTCCCGTGAGGTTTCGCCTTTTGCAGTCTGCTGCAGTTCAGTTCGGACTGAGTTCACGTCAAAGGATGGCAAGGTGAGGGTAACCCGCCCGCATTCCGACATGGAGTGGTTGCAGATCATCTTTTCCCCTTCCATGGACTCTCGTTCTCGACCCTCGCCTGCCCAGCTGACCCGACCCCGGCTCGGCCGGCCAAGTAGGTTGCGCGGCCCACGGCCGGGCTTGGGAGCTACGGCACCACCACGGCACACACGGCAAGGATTTATGGTGCTTTGTAGAGTTCTGTGGCGTTGCGATGGCGCAGACGGCCGCAGACGGCGGGCTTAGATGCGCGAGCTCGACAAAGGTGGGGGATGAGGGGAAAGAAGCAGGAAGGAAGGGTACGGAGGCACGGAGGCTTGGAGGCTTGAGGGGAGCGCTGGGAGGCAACGGCGAAGCGGGAATGGAGCAAGTGACGCTAGAGCCAAGACCCGAGCGATCGGGTCCGGCAAAATCCAGCCTGCGAATTTATCCCCGCTCTCAATTGTGGGTTTTGCTTGGTTTGCTTGGGTGGCTTTTTCCCTGGTTCTGGTTGTGAAAGTTCCCTGGTTGGATTTGTGCTGCGCCGAATTCTAGGGTCCGAGGGGCCGGGGGTGGACGGCCGGGGGGTCCACTTCGCCGAGCAAGGGTTCTTGGCATGGGGGTTTTGGGTTTCTTCGTTTTCTCTTCGTGAAGTTTCCCCCGTAATCTCTTTAGCGGGGTCGTTCGAAGGCCAGGCGACAAGTATGGTTTGCGACATTTCGGGAATTTCCCCAATGAGTGCCTTGGAGTAGGAGAGAGTCACAGGTGGTAATGATGGTCTTGCTCTGTCAAGCATTGTGCACAGCAATTGATCAAGTATCGTACGGGCGACGTGGGTATAGTGTATACCCTTAAGATAGCTTCGTTACCGGGTATGAGACCACAACCTTGTGACTAGACAATTACCATCTCTAGAGTATTCAGCTGCATGTTCACTCAGTGGGCCTCTACGAACACATCTTCTAGACCTCATTTCTACTTCGACGGCGGAACCATTTACAGTTGCCTCAACCACTTGTGCTTCGAAAGCTTTCTCAACACCATGTCTTTAAGTTTGTAGTATACGGCCCGGAAATCCAAACGTCTCAAAGCGAGGTTCAAATCCCTCAAGTCGTCTTCGAAAGCATTGTACCGAGCCTGAGGGTCCGACCTCCTCAGACGTTCCATCGCGTCACTGAAATCCCTTATAGATTGATCGCTAACTCTCTGCCCGTTCGAACGTAGAGTAAAAGGGTTCGAGGCCGGGCCTCGCACAATGTAGATCCCTAAGCTAGCCAAAAGACCAGCCGCGACAGTGACCCAGAGCCACGTGCAGAGAGTTCTTCGAATGGCTAGTCTATCATGTCGGCTGTACGTCGTGGGTCTGCGTCGCATCTCGAGCTCGGTGAGGGCCCAGAAGAGCAGGGCGCACGCTGGTGGTACTAGAGCATTCTGTAAGGTAGTCACCGAGCGCCACGCGGACGGAATCTCCCATAAGAGAGACATGTACACCGTGGCAATGAACAAAACGAGTACTGATGGGTTGTGACCAAGATCGACTGGGTGCCTCACAACATCGAGAGTTGCTGCCGCGGCGCCTGAGAGCATCTGGCTCCAGGATTGTGCGGCTGGCGCCCGCCTCGTGTACCTGACTGGGGAGAAGGACCGGATGACCCTGCCGGTGCTGCTGCCGCGGCCGCGGAGCAAGGGGTCCATTCTAGAGGCCAATTGTACCGACGTCTGTCTGATTCGCAACGTGGTCGCGATGTCCTGTCGAATACTAGCAAAGGAGACCATATATCCGACACCGCTGGAACGAGCGATCAAGACGCCAAGAACGCGTCTCGATTTATCGTCGACGATCCAGGAGCCCGAATCTCCTGATTGAAAACCTGCCAGATCGAGATTAGCAAAGTGGCCATTGCTGCAATGCTTGGGGAAAGGTTGAGTCTCGGGACGCCATACCTCGACTAGAGGCCTCTACCTTAACCGTCCAAATTTCTTGCACTCTTTCACCACCGCCCGAGATCATGAACGAAGAGTTTGGGCAAAGATGGCTACGCACCAACCCTTTCATTCCGGAAACTGCCCACACCGTTTTCTGGGACGGCGGTGTGTCTGGATGATCGTGGTCCACGAATACCTGATTTAGATCAGGGCAGTAGCTTTCGATGAAAGGATTCTGCCACATTGGTGGTTTCCCTGCGCCATCTGGGATTCTATTTAGAAGCAATAGGTTGGCTTCCACCGGTACAAGTAGCCAGTCGTTCCCGCTCCGTAGTCTATCTTCATCGATTCGGCACGTGATGTATCCCTCCTTGGTCGTCAAGTCTTCAGGCCTCATGTGACTTGCGTTTGTTGCTTGTATCATGTCTGCAAATGAACGCTCTGCGGTAGATTTTTCCTTCTCTGTCGAGACCTTACTCTTCATTTCCCTTGTGGATCCTGCTCCATCGTTGAGGGCATCCTCTTCCATTGACGCAGTCTCGTGAATCTGTCCCGCGGTTTCGCCCCTCGCGCTTTCACCATCGTCCGGAGCAAAGGAAGTAACCGAATCCGAATCGCCATTATCAATATCACCATCAAAGATAAAGAGCGAGCCCACATCAGAATCGCTCTCATCGTCAACCGAATTGTCTGGAGGCTCATCCTCGTCATCGGGGGCGTGGCTCGTTGTAAGAGCGTGGTATTTGCCCCTGATCGAAAGAAGGCCGCCGATCGTTGACGTCCGCTGGCCCAGGTTGGAGGATTGGACAACGATAAGACAGCCGCAGAGAGTGCGGGCTTGTGCCGGATCGCGAATCGCACACGCAGCTTCGAGAGCTGTGCGACGGACTCGCTCCTTGTGGTAGCATAGATCGAGTGGGGAGAAAACATGTCGATTCTCGGGCCTTGACATGATCTTGTGAAAGAAGCGGATCTCATCCCACCTGTTCAGACCGACGATGCGGATGAGGGTTATGGTGTCTTTCCTCGCGTCCGCCGTGCCTGTCGCTGCTATTGTTTGACTGGACCCATACGCAGACGATATGGAGACGAGGCTGGGCACAATCGTTGGCAGAATGAACTCGGATTTAGCGAAGAGTTGATGTCTTTGAGCACTCAAGGTAGTGACGAAACGCTTCAAGACATCCTTTTCTTCCGATGTGAATGCGGTGGTTGGGTTAACTTCTGCTTCAGGGCTGAGTCTCTTCAATCTTGCCGGTCGCAGAATCACTCTTCGAGGCTTTTGTGGTAGATTTGGTGTTGCGGTTGGTTCCGTCAACGGCGTTTTCTTCGCTGGTGAAGCGGTTTCTGCAGGATGGCTTGCTTCAAGAGGAGTTTCTGTTGGGCTGGGTTCCACTGGGAGAGACTCTACTGGAAGACAATCAATCGGATGAGAGTCTCCAGGTGGAAGCTTCATGAAGGAAGGTTCTAATGTTGGAGTTTGCACACTTTGAGGCTCCAGTAGTTCCGCTGGGAGAGGTGTAATCGGAGGTGTCCCTTCATCCGCCGAACCAAGATCGACCACGTTCTCTGAAACCGAGTCGTCGTCTGCGTCGCTGTTACCACTCGAGTTGTCGCAAATCAATATCTTCCTCGCAGGTTCAGGCTGGTGAATAGGTGCTTTCGCAACCATTCGGACCAAACCTATCTGGACGACCCAGAGAGTGATCCCATAAAGAATGAAACCGGGGCCCTCCTCCAGGGGTTCTGAATCTGTACAGCTCTTTTCCATGACTGCTTCGATTATGGATCTAGAGCTAAGACCTGTTGGAGAAGGGTGTCGATATCGCCGTGTTGAGCGGAATAGGTTAACGATCGCATTGGTCTAGACAAGTGATGCTACCTAGCAGCCGGTCTCTGGTAATAAATGATAATCATCAGAGATGAAGTCGCGAGAAATGGGGGTTGGGGATCTAATGAGGCTGTGAGACACCAAGACTTCACAGGGCGACGTATTTCATGCACTACGGCCGGTATCACACCGAATGGATTAATTGGCCTGTGTCACTAGTAATGCAGTCATGTGGCACCGAGAGCGAGGATGCTGGCCGTGAGATCCTCAGCCTGGTCTGCGGATCCCAGACGAAATTCCTTTCAGCAGGATTCCTTCCTCGCAGATCTCACCTCGCAGATCTCACCTCGCAGATCTCACCTCGCATTCGTTATTCTTCCTCACCAACGCTACCTAGCTAACATACTGCCGATGATCAATGCCCTCCACCCGAGAAGATGGCCGATAGCGACAACCGATCTAATGATAGAATCATCGCAGAATCGATATGGGGGCCATGCGAATCAAGCCAAGAGAAACATCTTGCCAGGTTCCTTGATCATTGCGCGCTGCAGCGGTTGTCACTCTGTATCGACCAACCGAGGACGGGGGACTCTACAGATGAGATAGCAGGAGCCATACGACTACTCCGATCGAAGCCCGCAGTCCGGAAAGATAAGATTCTGAGCCGGATGTCACCAAACCTGAGCAGACTGGCATACCTAGATTGTGCCGTCCGCACAATGCTCATGACGGAGTGCGAATCGGAGGGCACCGCAGCTATTGGGAGCGGCAACGTCCTCCGGTGGGCTGAGAGCGAGACATTGACGGATTACCTGGGCCGAATCTATCCCCAGTCAACATCGATGGACGTTCCTAAAGACCTCATCGACTTGAAAAACCTCAGATGTTACATTCTAGCTAGGGACGCTGGTATTAAGATCCAACAAACAGAAAAGCTTTCTGATCACCTGTACCTCAGACACAGCCCAGGGAATAAGATCCTCCTTGTTTTCTCTCACCGAGCATTCCTCGAACATAGCCGGGAGAGATTGAGCGTAATCCGCGAGGATCTGAGCCACTCTCTAGATGAGGCATTATCATTGTGAGTAACTGACGAGATCGCCACCAATGTCCGTCTCACTCACATGGTAATCTAGAGGGTGCCTACCTGCAAAGCTCATCGATGAGACATTGAGAATTTACAACCTCCTCTTCCCGCCCATCGGAAACGCCAAATCTAGGAAGCTCTTACGGGAATGGGTTAAGCGTGAAAGACTAGACGAAAGCCTCTTGAACCCCTCCTTCGACCATTCCAAGAAAGACCCTCCCCGGACTTTACACGATCTCTACGAGGATTTCCCATACTGGGCCCCCCAATTGGCCCGTCTACTGGAAGAAGTCGATGATCCGACCCCGACGACACGGTGGGAGAGATACGCAGAGCGGAGAAAGTCCCACCGGCACACATACAAGTGCGCCATCGCCGCGCTTGTAGTGGCTGCCGTATCGGGGACGCTGGCGACATTGTTGGCGGCAGTTCAAGTATGGATATCGTACTGTGATTGGGACAAGAACACCAACAAGACACTGTGTTAACTCGAGTCTGCCGTGGTTTCGTGGAGAGAGATAGACAGAGAGAGAGAAAGACATTCAATGTTATTCGTGCTTGGAACGTGAAAAAAATCTAGTATGCCGTTTATGATGGACTCAAGCAAGTCACGTCACGGCACACTGAAGAAGTGTTGATCATTCGTCATCATTGCGACTAGCTAGCTAGCAGGCCAAGAGCCAGACTCTCTATCTTCCTCCGCGTCTGTGACCCGCATGAAACCCTCGCATACGAGGGACATACATTAGGTATCGATCCATCCAACGCCTGAAACGAACAAAAACAAAGCCAATGATAGCCTAACCCCTCTCGAACACCTGGGCCTCGTCCATTCCGTACAGTCTGGCTTGCAAGAGCGGCTCTCTGAAGATGCAGAGGCCTCGTCATTGCAAGGAGAGCGAGAGCTAGACAAAGCTCGTGGCGAAGGGGGTGTGAGCGGGTAAGACCGTAGACTACGTCTTCAAAACTCAGTGTGTACTTTTCCCTCCGGTACAATGCATGCAAGAAAGAAAAGAAAGTGGATCAAGTTGGTATCTGCGAGCTTCCACGAGTAGGCTCGTTCGCCAATATGGTCGGCAAAGCCAAATCGCACGGCTCTGCAACCGGTGTATATACTCTGACAGGTTTTATGGGCAACTTTAATATGCTGCGTGGGCATCATTGATGACAGTAGCGAGGCTACTTGAAGCCATGTCGAAAGGGCTGACGAAAAGGCTTCTTTCCGAAACTGGCGGACCTCTAGGCGCCAGGCACCGGGACGGGCGTTTCCTTCTTGCTTGACTTGGGCTCGTCTGTCTTCTCCGACTTTCTCTTCTTGCGCTTCTCCTTCTTGGGTGTCTCCTCGGCTGCGGGAGATGACTTGGAGGGGATCTGCGGAATTGGGACCGCGGATTCGCGACGAACACTGGGTGGAAGAATAGGTGTCTCCTTGCGGGTCGAAGCAGGTTCATCAGCCTTGGACTTCTTGGAGCTCTTCGACTTCGGCTTCGGCGTCGAGGTCTCGGGGGCCGGGCTGGATGCAGCGGGGAGGCTCGAGAAGGAAAAACCGGGCTTGGGGACGGTCGGCGGGGGAATGGCCGTCACCTTCTTCACAGAGCCCTGAGCGGGAGTATCCTGGGATGAAGCGTCACGCTTGACCTTCTTAGCCTTCTCCTTGGATGACTGGGCCGGGGTAGATTCCTCGTCTGTGGGCAACTTGCGCTTAGATGCCTTCTTGGACTGGCTGGGAGTAGCAAGAGTCGGCTTGGGGTTGGATCCCACACTCGAGATGGACTCGATGCTATCACGTCGCTTCTTGCTCTGCTTCTCCTTGGTCGTGGGCAGAGGCTGCGAGTTGGGTACCTCGATAATGGTAGATTGAGAGTCCTCGACAGGATCCTTAGCGACCTTGGACTTTTTCTTATCCTTCTTCGAGCTCTTGGGGGTAGGCTCGTCGATATCCATGGCATCACCTGCCGGAGCTGCGGGAGCGGATGTGTGCTTAGACTTTTTGGTGCGAGTCGGCAGAGCAGGTGTCGAGGTCATCTCGACATCTTCGTCGGAGGATTCGTCAAAGCCGATCTTTCCCATCGGAATGTCGTCGGGGACACCAATAGGGTGGAAGCGAGCTCTCAAACCCTGCGGCTGGGGACGAGGAAGGGTTGGCTGAACGGGCCTGGGAGCGCTGGGCTCGCTACCAACCAACTGGGTCACGCGCTTGACATGCAGAACCTTGTCGACCTTCCTGGGGGCTAAGCTGTGGCGTTAGCAATTTGACCTAATGCGCTTGTTCCGTCCTCCTTACCTGTCTCATAGCGATTGCCCTTCTTGTTGGGAATGAGAAGCTCTACTGCAGTGGCACCAATGTCGAAGCCGACAGTGTAGTCCTCCGAGTTGTGCTTGAAAATGGCGTCTCCCTTGTGCGCCTTGTCCAAGGGAATCTGAAGCTTCTCCACAATGTTGATGGGGATGGAAGCGGGCGCGGTGAAGTACCAGAGCTGCTTGCCGTCGAGCTTGGCCTTGGTGAAGAAGTCGGTCATATCCTTGCCATCCTCATCGCCTTGCGCCTGTCTCAGAACGAAATCCTTGCCAACGAATCCAGGAACGTTGAGGTCCTTGCTGTTACGTCTGGGGGCAACAGCAGCGGCAGTCTCCTTGTTGGTTTCTTCCTCCTCATCAGAACTAGAATCTTCCTCTGCATCTTCCCCTCCCTCTGCGCTCTCCTCGCCACTGCTGGAACTTGCCTCGCTCGAACTGGTCGAGGCCGGCTTGGTTGCCTTCGCACCATTGACCGCGGGCTTGGCTTTAGGCTTGGTCGTCTTTTCGACCTCGCTCTCGGAATCACTCTCAGAATCGCTGGAAGAGGTTGTTGACGCGCCATTGGCAACTGGCGTCTTCTTTGTGGCATTCTGCACTGGCTTCTTCGCAGTCGGCTCGCTTTCGCTCTCACTGTCACTTGAGGACGAGTCTGTGTCGGCCGCCGCCTCTTCCGCTGAGGACTCTTCGGAAGAGCTCTCGGGCCTGACTGGTGCTTTCTTGGTGGCAGAGGGCTTCGCGTTGGAGGTCTTGTGTTCGACGTCGCTATCGGCAACCTCATCGGCCTTGTCGCGCTTGGCCTTCTTCAGAGGAGTGCTGGCAGATTTGCTCGACGCCATCTGGCCGTTAATCTTGGCGAAGAAATCGGGATTAACGGGGCCACCATCATCGTCGCTGCTGTCACTGTTGCTGGAGCTGTCGTCGGAATCGGACTCCTGAGCACGAGGGTCGAACTTTTCGGCCTTCTTGGCCTGCGTGCCTCGAGCGAATTTGCTCTTGGGCTTTGCGACTTCTTGGCCTTGCTTCTCGAGAATTGCGCTCAGCGAGTGAACGCCATCAAGCTTGCGTGACGACATCGTGCCTGGTGTGCTTCTGGAGACAAGGCGAAATGCTGGCGTAGAAGGAACTGAGGGCGTCGAAGCGGCGGGAATGGCTGGGACAGGAATTTTTCGAGGGTCTCGCAAAGATTCAGAAATCTTTGCAGGGATCGCACGGACCCGAGGTGGGGTCGCGGTGGTAGCGGGAACCGCGACGCGGTGAGAGCTAACCCGCCTGCCTGCCGCGCTTCCGGGGGACTTAAAGTGCGTTGGCGTCGGCGTGGGTGTCCGGATGCGCATGAAGGATTTTCCAGCGCGGTTTTTCGGTGTGAGAGCTTCACCTCCGAATCTCATATCGCGATCGCGGAGTCCGACGGATTCGCCTGCCATTTCGAATTGACGCCCACAGTGCTCGATTGAATGAGGTGTTGTCAGTTTGACTGTGGTAGAAATTGAGCAAAATTCTGCGTGTGAGTTTGGCCAGTTGAGGTTGCAATGAGTTGAGATAAGAAGAAAAAAAAGAAAAGCTGACCTGGCGTTGGCAAGGTGCAGGAAGAAGGTAATTTGCGAAAAGGCAGTCACGACCCGGGGTGGCTACCTGCCTCATTCAGACTGTGAGAGGAACCGTAACGTACCTAAGGCACCGTTTGAGCAAAGTCGGGAAGGATTGTGCCTTCCTGAGGTTATCTTGGTGTAGCTGCTCGGCAGGCACAATCAACATCCCTCCTGCCGTTGCACGGGACCAGTCTTTGAAAGATTCCCCTTTGATATCGATACTGCTGTAGAAGACTTTTCCCCGTTGCTACCAGAGAAACCCAACATGGCGACGCCAAAGCGACGGAAGGTCGAGACATCTGAGGGCTCAAGGCGTTAGTTGTCGCCCCTTGTGGTGCTTTGCAACATCGTTTTCACTTAAGAAACGGCTAACAGCCGAATAGCAATGAGCGCATTTGCTTTGAGGCAACAATTGCTTTCAGCGAGCCCGTCCTTGTCTCCAGCACCTCAAGCCGAATCTCAGCCGGCCCCTGATGTTCAAGTATCAACTCCCACGCCCACACCCAAAGTACGGTCTCCCGCGAAAGGAAGATCCTCAAAAAGGGTCGCCTCTGCCGAGGATGAAGCAATTCAGCACACGCCACAGTCGAAGCCGGAGCAGAGTGCATCTGCGCCAATAGCAGGAGCGACAGAATCCAAGTATAACCTCTCCACCTCGTCCTGAGAGCCCCCTCTGATGACTTCGCAGTAGCCCTACCGCAGATCCTGACGAGATCAACCCGTCAAAGATTGGACCTCAGCAGTTCTCGACGTTCAGGCCGAGTAAGAGCAACTCTCGCAGAGTGGCAGGAGGCATCCTAGAGCTAAGACTTCATGACAGCGAGGTAAAGACTTCCTTGTATGCGATATTAGTTGTTTCATTGACAAGTCAAGCGTTTCCTGGTGCTCGGAAGCTATGGTATCAAGGTCCTCGATGGTGAGATCACTATAGCAGGGGCGAGCGTTCGACCTCCAGACGGCATCAAATGGGTTCATGCCCCTCACTGCCATGCGATCCCCGTGCTGCGCTGCTCGGAGGAGACTAGACTTGAACTGCATCCTCATCCCCAGGGTGCAAGTCTGCGCAAGCTTGAACGGCTTTCGCCTCTCTTCCGAAATTTGTGGCATGAGCCTGAGGGCAAAGCAAGCAAACGAGGCGCAAAGACCGATACCTACAAGATTGTGAGTCAAGATCCTGGACGGCTCGAATCCATCACATACTAATACTGCACAGATTTGTACCTCTGAAGACGCGCCGAAGCGAGCTCTGATCCAAGATCTGCGATCGCATCCCGCCTGGAACAAGAAATTGGCGGGGCTAACGAAGGCGAAACCAGACCAGCCTGCCCTCAGCGTGATGCTTTGCGGCCCCAAATCGTCCGGCAAATCCACTTTTGGCCGTATACTGGGAAACCGGCTGCTCACGGGCGCCGGCCAACAGACTCGAACCCGGAAAACACCACCATCAGTCGTTGTGATGGAGCTAGATCCCGGGCAGCCAGAGTATACTCCGGCAGGTACAATCGCCTTGGTTCAGGTCAGAGAACCCAACTTGAGTCCATCTTTTGCCCGCATTGCGGCGAACGAGCAGGATGTGACCGTTATGAGATGTCACTCAATAGCTTCGGTATCACCTGCCTCCGATCCAGAGCTGTATCTGGAGTGCGCACTCGATCTGTTTCAACGCTATCAAGACACATGTAAAGGGCTGCCGTTGATCATCAACACCCCGGGTTGGGTCTTGGGAACAGGGCTGGACCTACTAAGTGAGCTCGTCTCGACGATCAGGCCAGCCGACGTCATTTACATGTCCGAAGACGGCCCTAGGGAGACCATCGAAGGCTTGCAAGCGGCGTGTAAGACGGCCTTTACGCTGCTTCCCTCACAGCAGTCAGAATTCACTTCTAGAACCGCGGCACATCTACGTTCGATGCAGGCGTTGGCGTATTTCCACACCAAGAGAAACCCATCGAATCAGCTGCTATGGAACCCTACTCCGCTTTCATCATCGCCTCCTTTGATGGTCGGCTACAAGGGGAAGAACCGCGGCATCACTGGGATCATAAGTTATGAGTACCAACCGCCGGCAGACCTTCTCGCAGAGACCATCAACGGGTCTATCTTGTGTCTAGTCGAGACCGAGGATGTCAGGGCATTCACTCGTCTAGCTAGAGAGAGCATTGACTCTTCCGCTGTGACATCAAGCGTTGACGTGATGGACGTCGATGGTGTCGCGTTGGACTTGGAGGCAATTATCGCCAGGACGCCTGAGGGAATCCCTTATATCCCAAACACCGATGCCCAAACTCTGGATCCACGATACGCGCAAACACTGGGCCAGGTGCTATTGCGAGGCATCGACACAAAGACTGGCGCTCTCCAGATCCTCACGCCCATTCCCCTGCAACGCATCGAAGCAGCCAAAGCAGCGGGTCACCACTTGTTGCTAGTCCACGGCAAGCTCGACTCCCCCGGCTGGGCTTACAGTGAAGACTTGTACTACCAGTCTTTCAACGGCAGTGATGTAGATAACTCCAAGTATGACACGGTGGAAGTCATGGACGAGGACACTGAGAGCGACAAGTCAGACGAGGAGCCCGAAAACCTCGAGCTTGCTGGCGACATTAGCGACACGCCGTGGATCGAGGTCCTCCAGGGCCACGAGAAGCGTCCCGTGGGGTCGAGGGTGTGGAGAGTCCGGCGCGATCTCGGGCGGGCCGGGCCGGGCGTTGAATGAAATAGATAACACGGATATCGTTTACCGGTACTCTAGAAAAAGGACCGAGGGGTATCTAGCTTTGTGAAGCAAAAAGTTTAGATTATTGTAGCCGGTGGGCTGAAAGATACCTCATTGTGTAAGGCAGAGGCGTCTCAATATCCTTACCTGCCAGTGGCGTATTAGATACCGCTTACACAGCGGAATTACGGGAATGCACCCCTCCACAGGGAAAGCCAGAATGCGGCGGCTTGCATCCACATTTCGAGGTACTCCCGTCCATACATGTGTGGCATGCACACACCGTCCCGCGCATGCCATGTGTGTCTTGAGATGAAGTGCAGCCCGATGCAGTGTGGCAGTCCATTCAGGGCGGCCGCATTACAAAGTACCTTAGTACTTTATACAGTGACACAGTACCTCACTCAACTGAGTGAGTCCCTGCATTGGGGATTTACCCCACATCCCCCGATGACGTCCGTGAGTTACCTTGGGTTGAGGTCCCCAATTGTGCCCCTCCCTTCGGCCCCTCCCCCTCTTTGTCATGCTTTCTCATCGCTTATTTCCCCCAAAACCTTAGCCTCCCAGCGGCAGTTTTCTGCGGATAGGTGGACGTCCAATGATGCTACACGCAATCCAGATGATGCTCCGAAGAAGCTTTAATCCGTGGACTTGCCCCCGCGTAGGGTAAATCCGCCCGCGATCATGGGGAAATTAAAGCCTGCCGTATTTCATATATGAATTAGTATTTTTTAACTACTACTAGTCTAACTCACCTATCTACTTCACCTGCTCCCCATCACTGTTGTTCTGAATCTCTAAACTCCTGGTGGTGCACAACATGACTGAACTTCCAGAAAGTAAGGTCGACGTCCTCATCATTGGGGCTGGCCCTGCTGGACTTATGCTGGCTCTCTGGTTATCCAGACTCGGTGTGAGGACCCGTATTGTTGACAAGAGGACCGCCAAGGTCTACTCTGGCCAAGCAGATGGGTAAGGGGATTGCCCTCCTCTATGACATGACAAGTACTCACATATATCACAGTTTCCAAGTGAGATCCCTCGAGATCCTAGACAGCTTCGGCGTCGCAGAGCGCGTGTGGAAAGAAGCAAACCGCATGCTCGGTAAGATCCCAATCTCACCTCACACCCTAGGTCTTGGATTTCACTAACAACAACCGTAGAGGTCAGCTTCTGGAACCCGGACGAGAACGGCACAATCCAGCGCAGCGCAAAATCAGTAAACACAATCCCAGGCCTGTCCCGCTTCACCGAATCCGTCCTGCACCAGGGGCGCATCGAGCAATTCTTCATCGACGGCATCCGCGCCTCGTACCCGTCCAACGAGACGCCACTACAGGTCGAGCGCATGGTCATCCCGACCTCGCTCGAGATCGACGAGGCCGCGGCCGAGGACTCGGATCCGGAGGCGCATCCTGTGACGGTGACGCTGCGGCACTTGACGGAGGAGGAGGCGACGCCCACGCAGATGCTGAGTAATCTTAGCGATGGCATTTTCCGGAGTAACTTGGCTGAGGACGATGTTGCGGGGATTTTGGATCGGTCCAAGGGCCGTGAAGCGAGGGATGAGGTTGTGAGGGCCAAGTATGTTGTTGGCTGTGATGGAGCGCATTCGTGGACTAGAAAGGCGCTGGGGAAGGAGTTTGAGATGAAGGGGGAGAGTACCGATGCCATTTGGTGAGTGATCGTAAGATGAGATGTGGTGAGGTGTTGAGCTGACGGTGGATTCTAGGGGTGTGATGGATATTGTTCCCATTACCGACTTCCGTAAGTTCTCACATCTACCACAGCGACGTGCTATGCTGACTTGAAACAGCCGATATCAGGTTCCGGACCATGATCCAGAACACGGCTGGCGCACTGATGATCATTCCTCGCGAGAACCGGATGGTTCGTCTCTACATCCAGCTGAAGGAGGTCTCAGCCGGAGGCGGCCGCGTCGACAGGTCGCAGATCACGCCAGAGATCATCTTCAAGTCTGCGCAGAGAATCTTTAGCCCATACAAGCTGGAGTACCACTACTGCGACTGGTAAGTTTGACAAAAGTTCTTTTTGTAGCGGTGGATGGGCGCTGACGTGCTGTTAGGTGGACGGCCTACCAAATCGGTCAGCGAACAGGCGACCACTTTAGCAAACTCAACCGCGTGTTCCTCGCGGGAGGTAAGCAAAATCCCCATACCTTGACCCTTCATCCATCTCCTTCAGGAGCTAAACCACATGATCCAGACGCCGTGCACACGCACTCCCCGAAAGCCGGCCAGGGCATGAACATCTCGATGCAGGACAGCTACAACCTCGGCTGGAAGATCGGCCTCGCGTGCAAGAACATCCTACCGCGCGACGTCCTCTCGACGTACGAACTCGAGCGGAAGAAGATTGCAAAGGACCTCATCGCCTTTGACGGCAAGTTCTCCAAGCTCTTTACGGGCGCACCGCCAAAGGATATCCAGAGCGAGACGGGCGTGTCGGACGACGTGTTCCAGAAGGCGTTCCATACAAGTCGGATGGTACGTATAAACACCACTCCCAGTCTTTCTGTGGTTTCTTTAGTATGGAGATGGGGACGAATAAGTGCGACGATGAAGCTAACGCAGAGTATCGCAGTTCACAACCGGCGTCGGCGTAAACTACCAACCAACAGTCCTCGTCGCCAAAGAAGCAGACGCAGACCCAGAAACCGAAGACGACTTACCCAACACCCTCACAAAGAGCACCGCGAAAAGCACCCAATCCCTCGCCACGAACTGCAAACTCGGCCAGCGCTTCCCCTCTTACAAGGTAATCCGCCAATCCGACGCCCGCCTCTGGGAACTGCACCACAAGCTCCCCTCCAACGGGCGCTTCCGCCTCGTAGTCTTTGGCGGCGACATCTCCCAACCTTCCCAGCGCGACACCGTCAACGCCCTCGGCGCGTGGCTGTCGAGCTACCTGCCCAAGCTGCCGACCATCGCGTTAGGTCCCGCGTCGGATCCGCATAGCGGGCAGATCAAGTTCAAGACGGACGCGGATCCGAGTATTGTTGATGTTGTGCTCGTGCACTCTGCCCCCCGGGACGAGATTGATTTGCTAAGGGACGTGCATGAGGCGTATCACCCGTTTGATAGTAAGCTTGGGTGGGATTATGACAAGGTGTTTAGTGACGGTAAGACGTTTTATGAGGAGCCTGAGAGGGCGTATGAGAAGTATGGGATTGATTCGGGCAAGGGTGCTGTTGTTGGGTTGCGACCTGATGGGTATGTTGGGCTTGTTACTCCGGTTGGTCATGATGGGGCGGAGCAGATTCAGAAGTGGTTTGATGGCATCTTTCAAAGATCATGAGATGTTGCCAGATATTGATTCTAGGTACATAAATATCGGTCAATGAGACGTGACAACTGTGAATGAGAGACATAGTTGAATGAACCCCTGCTGCAGAGCATTTACCTGCCATGTCGATGCTTGTAATTTGAGCTCGGGATATACGGTATATACCTCATCATTTTACTAATTCGGGACCTGTTGGATCTCGAAACCCATCACAGAGTGTATAAGCTAATAGCTTATCAAATCTGAATTGTGTGATTAAGGTAGGCAGACAGGGAGTGTCATCATGCCGCAGGGGTTGAGGCATCAGAGTCCGCAGAATCGGTATCCCTATTGTACTGAGTATTGAAAGAACCATCATCACATGAGATTTATGGATCATCAAAGAAACGAAACGGCAACGTGATTGGCTTTGAAGGGTAAATGCCTATGCATGCCTCAAAGGCAAACGCTGTTGAGGTTGGACGCGTCAGGCTTAAGATTCCTGGCGCCGAGGATGGCTTAGGCGACGCGAGATATGGCCTCTCATTGGCTATCACTGAGGTAGGGCATCCCCCTCAGATGACAATTAGATGACCTGGCATCTCTGTGACTGCAATCAGTTTTCTCCTCCAACATCTTATTTTCATTCTCATACTACTTACTCAAACTTCCATTACATCTCGCACCTGCCTTCTCCCCCTTTTTCCTTTTTTTCCATCGTTTTCATCCATGCTCTCTAGAAGTCTAGATGGAAACCCCAGCCACCTCGAGAGTTTACCCACAGCGATCATGCGTCACAAATGGCTCAGCCCCTGACTCCCGATATCCCAAGCACAAAACCACGAAGCCATGCTATACTCCGCAGAAAAGATCATGACACAGACTTGGAAGAAAATGCAAACCTCCTCGATCACATCTCCGGCATCCCATCCAACACGCGATTCTCAGGCAAGCCCCTCTCATCAACAACATGAGATGAGATAGCCACGCACCATTCCTTAAACACTGAAAGGAAAGACAAGAAAGAAAACCCATCAATATCGCTCGCTCGCTCGCTCGCTCTCGTTTCTTCGTTTCCATCGCTTCATCACGATCCGCGGTTCTTCCCGAAAACCGGCCTTGTTTTGGTGTTGATGCCTCATTTTTGTGGCATGAAAAGGGTGGGGCCTCCGGCCGACCTCGGAAGTGAGGTCACCCCTGCAATTCCCACGCACGGACCACGCCATCACGTAAACCGACCCGCACGAACCTCACCAGAGGTTGAGATGCCCGGGCAGGTTGGGGCGACCAGAATGATGAGGAGGTGTCGCGACACCTTGGTATCGCATTGCGGCTGACACTGACTTGACTTTCAGGGCGACCGCATCATTATCTCGAGAATTGCGCCCCAGCACCTCGAAGGGCTTCCGTCTGACCATGATTGGGCTGGGCTTCTCCCTCGACCGCCTCAGCGCCGTGGGGTATAAGCTGGTCAACCAGCATGACTGCGTCAACGTCACGCTCGATTCGGCTTTCTAGTCGCTCGCGACTCCCAGCACGATCGCTGCTCACCAAGTCAAGGTCGATGTCTTTCTCGAAGTTCCGGAGGCGATCCGCAGCCCCAGTTCTAGCTCCTTTCTCTTGGGAGAGCTGTTTTCCCGAAGCACCCCTAAGCCACCCTGATATTAGCCAAGCCGAACCCCGACGCAACCGAACGAATGAATAAGATGCGAGGTAGGGAATTTGGTGGTGGATGATACGGAACTTCTCGTCGGCACAAGACCCAAGCCATGGCACGCCTGACGTAGAGTTGGCCTGGGAGCGCTGGCTTCAGACCCGCACGTAATACTGCGAACCCGCGAGATCAAGAGCAGCTTTGCGCAGGGCGCGAATCTGGCAAATGATGGCGGAAAAGTTCCAGGAAACTGTGCATTCCGTGCTTCCACATACGAGCCGGCATAGCATACTTGCTCATGACGGCTATAGAGCTCCAGGAATGAGTGAATGCCATGCCTCCACAAGTGCGGCGACGTGGCATACTTGCTCACGAGGCGGCGTAGGGCTGGATTTGGGGATGGATGCTGAGATACCAAGAAGAAGTCGTGGTGCTCATGCAACAGCGTGCGGTGCAGCGCTACGGAGGAGTGCAAGAACAAGATCTGTTACTTACGACTTGGCTGAGCCCTGCTGGGGTTCGACAGAGGCCATGCTGGATCTTCTCCGCCTCGGCGTTGTGGTGCGGGTTGCAAGGTAAGTCAAGGTGCGCTTGCAAGTGATTGTGTGTTTCGTTGCGATGGGTAGAATGATGTTGGGGCCATTCAAGTTTCCACGAAGTGGTAGACTGGCTGGGCGTAGAAAGGCCGTAATGTTCGGCGGGTAAGGTTGGTTGTGGTGTCGGGGAGTTGTAGGTAAGAGACAACCTTGGGTAGTGACTCGAGATTAGATCTCGCTTTAAAACTCAATGTTACTGAAGCTTGACTTGCCAACGCTAAACGTCATGAAAGAGTGAAGAGCTTGAGGAAGGCCAAAGAAAGTGTGAGGTAGGCAGGAGGTAATAAGGGAAAACAGCGGCGGCAGAGCGGCGGCGGCGACGGTGACGGTGGAGGAGGAGGACGAGGAGGAAGCAAAGGTGGTGGTTGTGGGGGGTGAGGGATGGATGCGTGAACGAGTAGGCGGAAAGTCGCCCAGTGCGAGTCTTGGCAAGACCCAGCACTTCTCTGCCTTCCTGGCTTCACAGCGACACCACTACCCCCAAGCCTAGCTCAGAGTCCCTTGATGAGTGGACGTACCTACGTTACCTCCTGTCGGTAGCTTCTCAGGAACGCTCGTCCAGTGACTCCGCCGTCCCCCCAAAGATTCGCGGGCTCGCAACTTCCCGACTCACACACAGGGTCACTCCATGAATAACGCAGGTCTCAAACCCAAAGGAGATTTCCTGGAGGGATGCTGTTTGTGTTTGTCCAAGACCCCAACTGCCTTACGTAGTCCCCATAGGGAGATGAGACTTCCGCGACCCAAGACTCGAAAGTGACATGCAGATTGTCAAGGCACAAATCCGCCCCTCCACGGCGTACGTACCCAAGGTATGTTTGTTTCGCTTCCTCTCTGCCGCTCCGTTGAAGAATCTGTCGTCGGCAGCTTCTGGAGGTAATTCTCATCTCGCGCCCATGGGGGTCAAGGTGCTGATAACGATCGGAGAGGAGAGGCATTCTATGCCGGCCGAAGAGGAAAGGCAGCTTCTTCAATGGATCCTCTACTCGTACCTATCTTCCCGCTTCATAAGGTAATGTTCACTGCTTGACTCTCTGCCCGAATCCATCGGCGCTAGCAGCGGGCAGACAGCAGCACTCTCCTCCACTCAATCGAAAAAGAGTGGACCACCACGGGCCTCATCCCCATACTTGAGGGTACGGAGATACACGGTACGTCCCGTCCATCTCTCTGTGTCTGTTTGGGTCCCCGTCTTTTCCGCTGTGTCTGTTCGGGCTCCCGTCCTATCCTGCCACAGTGACCTGCCTGCCCTTGCCCAAATCCCATGCCTTCCCTCATCCACTGCGACCACAGACCTGACCCTGTGTAAATATTGGCTTCTAACAGGCATCTGCTTGGTACCTAGGTACCTACCTAAACCGCTCCCTCCTCCATGGCTCCTTTTTTTCTTTTCTTCCATCCCGTCCCTCCTCACCTCCCAGTCGGCGTCTTGGTGGTTGGCTGACAGTACGTACCTTGCCGAGAGACGAGTTACGGTACCTACCTACCCACCTGCCTTACCTTACCTTTACTTCAATTAGAAGGCTGACGCGCAAAGCGAAAGGACTTCTGAAGGTGTGCGGCTGGAGATTTCTGAACAGGGTCCGGTGAAAGGCAATGCTGGTAAGTTGCCGCGCAGGCGGATGAAACAGAAGAGAACGGGAAGCGTGGAAATATATAGTCTTGTTTCTCTCATCCTTGATGCGAGAGCAACTTGAACTTGTGAAAGTGGGGTGTTGCAAAGCTGGACGGAGCGCAGAGAAAAGGGCGAGGGAGGCACAATGGCAGAAAGAGGAGAGCTCGGGTGGGAGTGCGCTGTCGAGCGATAGCACTGACGTCCGGCTAGGTAGGTACCTTAGGTATGGTACCTGGCACCTGCCAGAGCAAAATAAAGGTTGAAAGAACGAGAGAGGGCGTGGGGATGAATAGGTAGTGAGGGGTGAGATCAGGGCCTCGCCATTGCTGACTCGGGTGGTCAAGCTCTCGTAATCTGCAGTTATTGGCTCTTGCGAAGCTCCCGTACCTACTTGGAGACGTCCATCGAAAGTCCATGAGGTAAGTTCGCGGTCTGGAATCGGCGCGAGGGTCTACCTAGGTACGAGCCGATAAGGGGGGCACGGGGGGTCGCGGTTGAGAACTTCACTGACGAGAGAGAAACATGTATCTAGGTACTTCAAGGAAGAAAGAAACAGGGTTGGGTCTTTTCCTCTTCATTTTTTCCGAAAAGGCTCTAAGGTTGGGACGGCGGTGACTATGGACTGGAGCATACCCAGCGCAAAAAAGAAACAAGACGATCCTCCCACTTGTCCACCGGGGAGGGATTCAGGGAGATGCGGCGGCGAAAGGTCCCACGTCGTGGGAAGGGATCCAACTGCCCGGCATGACGGCCGTGGGACCACCAGCTTGAGGTGCAGGCGGTACGTAGTACATACGGTAGGGGATGGTGCAGGGGGCGGCCGAGACTGGGCAGAAGTTCAGAACAAGTGGATGCGCGGTGACATGGTTTTACTACTTCACTGGAGGCGCGAAAGCCAGTCGTCCCGCCCTTAAAAAGTGCTTGAGCACAGGAAGTTGGAGCTCTTGGGTTTAACGCAAGATAGCCATACATGTATGTGCCTGCCCGAGCAGCCGGGGTACATAGAAGCACGAGAAACGAGAATAGACATGCGATCCCATCCCAGGGCCTGATCCTTGGGCGGTGCGGCATCTTGGGACGGTGCTCTGACCACGGCCATCTCGGACGATGCTCTGACGACGACCACCCCGGGCGGTACTCTGACGATGACCATCTCATCTCGTTCGGCGAAATTCTGATGGAGCGATGTACCTCGAACGAGGCGGGCGGTTTCTGCCTACGTACCTTATGAACCCACAGATACCTGTCAATACCTGGTCCGTCTTTAACCCTGCACCTGAGATCGCGGAGACATGATGTATCCATACTTCCTCACTCTGATGCTGGACCAGGAAAGGCCTTGACGCGGGCACTCACGAAGAACAGAAGAGGCGAGAGTCTTCCCCAAAAGCTAGCCCCGCGAATGGCATAGGATGTTCTCCGTCTCCATCAATGGGTGCTTTGTCAAGGTACTTGACGTTGGATACCGTACACCGAATTCCTCCATCACCAAATCCCACCACCCAGCACGCGGCACATGTCACCCAACCCATCCAAGTGCATGGTGTAATCGGTTGGCGTCTCCTCAATTCTTTGCGCTTGTAAGGAGAATGTGATGCCTGGTTCATTCCGCGTGTTTCATTGCAAAAGCCGCTTGCAAGGCGCCTCAATTGGGCGAGGTTCCTGGCCCATGAATTGATGCCCGCTCATCGAGTCACAGCCGGGCGGCATTCGGTCGGCTCTCCAATGCTGCCGACGCAGGGGTCTGTTCGTCCTGACAGTTCAGCTGTCGAGTGATCATCACCCAAAGCCCCAGATGATTAAATCAGCTCTTTCAGAAATCATTTTGGAGATATCTCGGGGATGGAGGCAAGGACTTACCCGCTATTTACGAAGGACTTCGGGTATCTGAACTTTTCCCCAGCTCCGGCAACTCTGCCTGTTTCCTTCAGCAACGTTCGCTGGGCGCAACATTCGACGTGGTCCGGACCTTCTCGGTTTCTGCTTGTCCCGCGATTACCTAAATCGCCAGACTGCCGTCATGCGAACAATTGTGTGATGGGGCAGGTGCCCGCCCGCCAGTCCTCCTCCGTCATTTTCCAACCTTAGCCCGTGACCACTTTGCGTCAGCCACAAGTCTACCCGTCGACGGAATGCGCAACATTTTCCCACAAACTCAGCCCCAACCTGCGTCTTCACGGTGCCGACTTCTGTGAGGCGCAGCTACTGCGCAGCGACGAAGCAATTCAGGCACTGCTCACGAGTCCATCACCCAATCAGCCGTGCCAGCCTTTGCCAAGATGAGCAAACAATTTTTCACCATCGTTACCGTCTGACACCTTCTCAATCAAAAATCGTCTGGCCCTTCCCATCTCAGCCACCGGGAAATTCGGTAATCTGCCACGACCCCGCCGCGACAGAGATCCTGATCAATTTCAGCCCGAGCGATTGAAGAGTTTTTTCTTTTCAGCATTGACATTGGATGCCGCAATATCACCTGTCGCAGTGTCGCATTCACGGAAAAGTAGAAATTCGGGGTGCAGAACGGGCGCGCCCCCGCGCGCCATTGGTCTCGATTCCCAAGTGTACGTGGCTGTCTCTGAATCCTCTGGCCATCCCTCCACTGGTCAATTGGAGATGAGAAAAATTTTCACGACTGCTCTTTCACCCCCAGCGGAACAACGCACCTAAGCTTCTCCATGCGTTCATGTTCTTCGCCCGCCTGCGTGTCATGATCGGCCGCATCATTCGCGAACCATTCTCCAGTTCGCCAGATTCGTTAGCGGCTGCCTCTCACGTGCCCAACGTCTGCCTAATTGCCTTGTGCACCGACCAGCGGTTGAGTCGGAAAACGGGGCAAGTGCTGGCCTTACCGGACTTACGCGGCGTTTTGAGAGTGAGCCTCAGGAATCAATTCGAATGACTCTGCGACCGCATATCGAAGTTGATTTCGACGACTTGTTCGATCATGGACATGCGAAGTCAAAATAAAGTCGGTTTATTCAGATGAAAGAACGGGTCCGATCCGTTCTTTAGACTCTTGTCTGTGCACAAGGTTTGGCGGGTATCACGCCAAATTGGGATGAAACGGGCCCATTTGACGTGGATCATCTCAAGGATAATCCCACAAAGACTAGGAGTGGATGAAAGAAAGTGGAAAGCTGGGCACTGTCGACAACAATCAATTGTGATGCCGATGGATGAGAAGGGTATTCCCATCGCTCGTCTATCTAAACTATCTAATAGCTTATGTAAGTATATTTAAAAGTGATAAGGTATATAATGTGAACGATATACTGGGCTCCCCACCCCAACTTAACCCCGCCGAAGCAAGAATAAGTTGTGCGTCGGGCACGCTGAGGCAGGTGCCATCCAACTATAGTTGGTCTAAACGCCCCGAATCCAATTGTTACCTTTCCCATGCCCAAGATTGCCCCGATTCTCCATTCGTTTCAATATGCAGAGTTTGAGAGTGAGATAATGCATGTGCATAACCTCGCGAAAAAAATCACCGCCGGTCCATTGTCCGGGCTGCTTGGTTTGCTCCTACCGCCTCTCAGTTTCTGCATTCCTGCCAAAATTAGTCGCGACGCATTGGCCCATCAGATTTGCAGCTTCCTTCTTTCTTCAGCGTCATCCGACCGCAAATCATTGGCGTCGAGAGAAAACTTATGTAATCCCTTTGTGATCTCATTGACGTTTTTCTCCACCCCAATTGTTTCATCCGTCCCAGAGACTCGGCCGAGTCTCCTCCACCGAACTTCGGAGCGGAGACGTGTCCGCTCCCGCGCACCACCATCTCGGTAGGTACTTTCCGACGGGAGGCTATTCTTATTCGAGGCAAGCCCCCACGCCAGGATCTAGATCAGAGTCAATCCACCACCACTGGCCGATCCAAGGCACCGTTGCATGTTGCAGCCACACACCGGGAGTGTGTGGTACCACATGGTGCCAAACCAGTGGCTGCCGTTAGACCCTTAGTTTGGGAATTGTGATCCAGCGCCGCGCAGACTGGTTGGCACGTTGTTGAGAGGTTGCCCGACAGCGCCTCCGGAGCGGGCTGAGACTCCGTAACTGAGGTCTAGCCGGGTAACGGCGGCGGTTGCGGAGGATACTTGTGAAGTTGGTCGCGTTGAAGTAAAGCCTAGGCCAACTGACAATGCATGATCGTTTCTGAACATCGTGTACCGCACGTCACGTTGGGAGCGAGTTCCCTCTGCATTCACTGGCCTGGGCCGTTGGGTGCCAGAACTGTCCCAAAGTCAGTATTGTATACTCGATGGGTCATCACCATGGGTTTCAGGATAACCGTGAGATGGAAACGTAGAGAACGGTATGAAGGCGTAAAGAATGAGAGTATGAGCAAAGAGGTAGGACTCACGTTGACGCGGAAAGCTGTACATCTATCGACAACGCCATGGCTGAAGACTGGTGCGAAAGTGTGGATGAAAGAGAATGTGTTGAACAGTAGATAGCTTTCAGATGTTGATTTGAGAGATGGCTTGAGCCTTGAGATTGTAGAAGACAGGAAGAGTGTGGTAGAGTAGCAAGCAAGTAAGACAAAGATAGGAGAATAAGAGAGCCTTTAAATCTAGAAGTCTTGACTCGCGAGAATGAATGAGCAGCCAGAGTGCGGTGGAAACCTACATTTCGAGGAAGCCTAATTACCGTGCCCTCCCTCTCGGTCCGCCTTGCGCCAGTTGAACAGTTCGAGGTGACATGTTGCAGGGGTAGGGGGGTCACAGGCCGATCTCAGCAACTCCGGGTTCTTGTTACGAACGCACCTGTAGTGTTTCCTCAGCGGCGTCCGGGGGAGACGGAATCATCATGTCGTGCCTACATGAGCATATGTATGCAGGTCAACGGCGGTAAGGTTCAGATGTGTGGCGTGGGTAAACAAGACTGCATCCAAGCGAGAAGAAAACGACCCATGAGGATTCGACTTCCAGACGTCGCCTGCTTTGGATCGCGTCGGATGAACCTTCCGCGCTCCAAAGGGTGGTGACACAAGGCTCTCTCATATAAGTGAGAAGAAGGCGAAATATGCGAAAAACGCCGTATGCTGGTTTGTGGATGGCTCAGATTCAAGATGGGGTGGATCTCGCGAATGCGTTGGTCTTTGGGGGCTAAATCATAAGTGATAGGGTTTTCGATTCGTTGATTTTGGCAGCTTTGGCAAGACTTTGGCCACCGGCGTATGCACCACCACGGCCGTTTCGCCGGCCGGTCCACACTTCCTGTTGCCTTGGCACAATCTTGAACGCCTGCTCGGAAGTGATACATCTTGGCTCTAAAGAAGCAAGCGTTGGGTTTTGTAAGAAACGATTGATAAGTGTATACCAATTTGAAGGTTAACTATTTCCACAACGCGTATCGATAACATGCTCTCCAAGAGTTTTGAGAAATACTCACAATTGCGCGGCTAAACTACAATTTTTCGGGTTGATCATGTCGGTTGTAACTTTGAAAACCTCATTCCAGCCAAGTCTCTAAACGCCGACTGCGATAAGATCATAGCAGTAGGAACCAGATGCCTCGCAGAAGGTGGGTAATGTCAGTGGTATGAAACGTGAGCATATGCCGCCATCCTCATACTGCCCATGAACATGCCCTATGAGGAATAGAAAGTAACCTTGTTGTAAGCCACAGTAATTGGTGAAGAAAAAGGCCGGGCGAGTGCCGCACGCGACAAGTTGTGGGCCCACCCCTATTGCTACACAGTGGGCTGCACAGCCAGCTGTAGAAGCATGAGAACAAAGAAACTGAACAAAGGGTGCATGCAGCCGGGGCATTTTAATGTCGCGAACTGGCGATTCTACCAGCAGAAGGGGTCATAAGAGCATCGCATGAATCAGCTCGGGCACCAAGAGACAGGGGAGCCAGAAAGCGGTGAAGCGGCCATTGAAACGGGATGATGTGGCCCTCGGTCATCCAGACAACTTGATAGACTTTGGACCGCAGGTCCAGACCCGTATGCACCAGGACTTTGAGGAGAGAATACCCCTCTTTCAATCCATGGGATATCACTCAAGGCTAAATTAGCGAGGACTCTACGCGCCGAGGCATTCCCATGGGTCCTACATGCTTTCGGCCGTACGCAAATGCGAATATCTTTATCGAGCAATTTGAGCAAACTTGCACTCGGACTCTGCCAAAAATATGATGGCCGATGATACGGACGTACTTTTCAGCGGGTTGAGTAATCGGACGTAACTTCTGTTGTTCACAACGTTCATTGCACTGTCGCACCAACACAAATTCAAGCCACAGCCTATACAGACCACATTCCATGCGATTTCTTGCTTTTCTGGCATGCTGATGATGATCGATCGGATTTAGTCAAAGAAACTTGGCCAATTGAAATATCTCCCCGCGGTGCATCAAATTCCAGGTCATGAAGAGAGTTTCAAAGTATCGCAGATTGTACGCCACATAACCGACACACCTTCAGTCATAAATGATAGGCAAGAACTCCCAGATCCGAGATCCGTCCGGGAGCCCGTGGAAGACTGTCAGTGTGTGATGGGTATGCCTGGGCAATCGAGAATGGTCTCTGGATACTTTTCTGATGACAGAAGATCCGAAGGTCCCCGAGACATTCCCGGGTGTGGCTTGCAGCTCGCTTCCCATCATTTCTCACGTCAAAAGAAGAGGTAAAATACTCTCAAATATGTATGGAGAGGCTGCGAACTAGCAGACGGCGGGAGGGGAGACGGGGAGACCCGACTCGAAGCTTGGGGCGTGCATACTGCATGCCCGGAACCCCTCCCCGGGAGGGTGGCGCGAACGCTACATGCAACGCACAAATGACAATGCAGGAGCCGGAATTTCATGTCTCCCAGTATAATATACCTGCATCACTGGCCACCCGATCCAGCAGCTGTCACTGGGATGTGACTTATGACAAGCTCACAATTCCCCGTTAGCTCAAGCCGACCTGACTCAGCGATAGCGGACGTCGAGCACCCCTGAGAGTGCGCTACCATGCTCGTTCGGCCTCAATGGCCGTTGTGATTGATGGTTATCGATCCGAGACAGATGCAATCGTCCAGAGAGAAGAAATTATTCGGTAAGACGTCTCACTTCCAATGCTTTACCCCCCCCCCCCCCCTCCCATTTGCCCCCTCCCCTCCCTTTCAGCCTGCCTTAATTCCGTAGTCCCTGCCCGTTCCGCAGCCTGCTTTTGCAGGACGTTGTGTTTGGGCTGCAAGATCGATTGCAGCCTTCACCAGTAAACAAAAGAAACAAGAGCCCGGTTTTTTTAGTCGCCTCCCAACCCACCTTAGTTTTCTCATTTCGCAAATATGACATGTGAGGAATGTGGAAATTGACAACTGATCCCTCACGAGCTTCCTCAGACTCTAGTCGCGTGAAACAACGTGTTTCATCTGGTCATATTCCAGCTACGAGATAAAGTTCTGTCTGGATTCGGGCTGTCAGTGTGCTCAGATTTCGTCGCATCTCCGCACACATCAGATGGCCTTTCGAGATTCCACACACTCTCATACAAGAGGTTTGGCAACCCGTCTCCCTTGTATCTGCCCCTACATCCTACGTCAGAGATTGGGCGTATTCATATTTACATGTACACCAGTTCCTATCAAGAGAACAGACTACTGACCTTCTATCCCAAACCTATGGGATACGATGTTCCATCTAGACACGTGAGAATTGTAGATCTCTGGGCATCACTCTACTTGAGTTTCTGCCTACTCTAATCCGAGTATTGATAAGTCTGTGATAACAGGGACTTCATGAAAGTAAAATGGCGGGTGGTGACGGAGGGTGAATCTATATGTGCTTCAGCGCGAGATCGATGGAAGTGTAAACGGGGTCACTACGAGTAGGTAATTGACGAGTATTCATACCATTCATCTTTCGTTAATTTGGCATTCAGGAGTCGCAAGGTCAAGTCTAGAAGCACTGATAATGAGCTTCAGCCTTTCTAGTTTTCCACCCCGGCTTCGATTGAAAAGATGTGCCAAACCTCATCACCAGTACCCAATGCATGGTGTCTTAGATTGGGGTGAGTGGTTATCCAGAATATGTGGGTGTGAGTTACCAGTAAGAGCCTTATATGAGCGCATAGATTGCCTGGAAAGTTACCTCTTTCCCGTGGTGATGAAATGTGGATAAAGAGTTGAGGCAACCCGTGTGTCAAGCGTTTTGAAGCAAGCCGGCTACTCACCAGGCCTCCATAGAATAAATAAAGCGGAGACTTCTGATTGATGAACGCGCCCAATGCCCTGAAGACTTCTGAGTTGGAAATCTGGGATTAGGTAGTGTCAAGATATACAAACGATGACTATAGAATATAAATTGAGAAACGTTTTCCCATGGTCTTCGTCCGAAGATTTGTAGCAGACTGTGAGCAGCGTCGTGATGCGGCTTATGTGGAGCAGTGATATACTCTCGACCAAACCCTAGCTTTTGGAAGATCAGATATATGATGATAGAATCTTGTTCCTGCTCAATAACTCAATCTTGTTGATTCCTCAATCAATATGTTTTTTGAGTATCTCGCAAACTCAAGTCAGGTTGTGAGTTGCAGTAGTAATATATCCAGAAACACATATACGGGAAGAAGCAGAAAATTGTCGGTTTGTGAGTCATTTCTGAAGTATCTAATAGAGGGCAGTGTAGCATTTGATCGCTTCTTGAGCATCCTGCTTTTCGTGGAACCAGGTGAAAGAGAGTTGCTGGGAGACGGTACAGGATTGTTTAAACTTCGACCTACCAAGCACTCGTCTGAGGCACCAAAAACGGAAATATAGGTACATTGACCAGGTCGACGTGCGGCGGAAATTTGAAATAGGGCGCAGGCTAGTGCAGATCGGACATACTGAACTTGTCTACTCGGTATCTTTACTGAGACAAGTCAGGACTAACTATACGAGCACCGAATTTCTTTTTGAGGAAACCCCCGGAAACAGACCTGGGCTCATACGTCGCAAGTGATCAACTCTCAACCGTCATGAGACTGTGCCTACATCAATTCATAGTTAACAAGGATAGCCTCATGAAGGTGGACAGCTAACAGGGCGCCAACGTAGCCACTATTTCGGAAACCTTGAAAGAGGAAAAAGTCCAACATGGAGCCGAGTAGAGCCTTCGATCCAGTTTGTTTTCTGCAAATGAAGTTCTCAAGACTCCCCTATCTACTCGAATACGAGATGCTCTTGCTCCGAAAACTGGGTCTACCGCTTTGACTCTCTGTGGAAGTCAAACAGTGGCTGGAGCTAGGGATAAAGTCGAACATCCTACTCGCTATAGACACACTGATTTCCATTGTATTGGATCGCAATGTTACAAGTAGACAAACGTAGCTATACTCTCGGAATTCAAGTTGCTCAAACCATTTCAGAAGATTCTCCAAACAATTTCGACTTATTGTATCGAGATTTTCTTAGTGGAGAGCTGATGGTTGTTCAAGACCATATAGTCAGGTCACCAGGGTCTGTTATCTCCGTACGCCAGCGATAGTCTTTGCTAATGCAGCATGTAGCTAGGCCAAGCCATCAGTCACCGATCATGCTAGGACATCCAATACCGATCTTACGCAGCCGGGCAACTGCAAAGAATGCGTTGAGAGTTGATATGGGTATCTTCAACCAAAGAGTCACCGAATAGTTCATGGTGAAAGAGACTATGGACTTGAAAAACATCAACAATTGAGAACACCTTCTCAAATGTTTTCACTTCCCGTTACTTATATTATTCTTTTCCTTAGAATGGACCGAAGCCAGATGCTGACCCGTCTTCTTGATATTTCTTAAATCATTTCTGGTCGTGAATTGTCACGAGATATGGATGTGGTTAATGCTGCCCACATTGAGTGGGCCCGCTTTTTGTGACATGAATATAGCGATAGTGGGCTGCCATTGCAACATCATAGAGATGAAGCACAAATACTTTGAGAACTGGCGGTACGAGGGAACACAACTTTTGAACCTGATACCCATAGAGTCTGAGGCACACCGAGATTTGCTGTGTATTTATTGTTCTTCCTTCGCCAGGCAAACTTTAGCCCTGGGAGTCTGGCCTTAGCGTGAATGGCACAGCTCGGCCGTGGCTGACTTGGCTAACATACGCATGTCTCATTGCCTTCCACACAGGACCCAATACCCGGAACCGCGAAGATTCCAGCGAAGAACTGGATGAGCATGGCATGGTGAGTTACAAGACCAAGTCAACACGGCGATTTGGCGAATAGCAATTTTCTGCGAGCTAATAAACGAAGCCTAGCGGAGATTCCAAAGCCTCGTCATCAATGAATTTGCATTTAACGCCCTGTCTTACTGTCTTGACCATGGCCCATTGTCCTCGGAGAAACCCCCGTCCCATCGAATTCAATATCATTCTTCTCTAGAAAGTCGTTCGGCATCGCCCACGCTCCTAACACAATTGAGGTCCGGTTGCTGTTTTCAACCCGTGATGCCCCCCACTCTCTGGGTGGCTGGCAAGATGGTTTGCATCATACTTTGGTAAGGCACCTGCTATGCCGCCTAATCGCACTCCTTGGAAGGCCGAGGATACCGCACTATCGCTCTGATGCTGGAAAGTAGCTCTCTCTGATAGAGGGAGCCTCGAACTTGATGGATACATGGCTGAAAATTGCTTCCCTGGCCTTAGAGGTCTTCAATGAGATGAACTCATTCAGATAGTTGAGAGTGCTTTTGTGGCCGAGGTAATTTGGCCTGTGGTGTCTGGCGAGCTCTAGAGAACAATGTAAGTAAAAGAGCCGCTCCCCGGCAAGGCAGCGCCTTCGAATTGATTGGTGATTCTCCACCTCGCCGTCATGGCAAGGTGTGGTTCATGAGCCGCATGGGTGGTCGCTAGGTGTCTACAAGAAGATGTACAAGTTATGTACCCGCCTCTACTAGCTGTTGGTGACGGGGTGGCGTCAGCTTAGGTGATGTAGCAGGCGACCCAGTGTGACAGAGCTGTAATGGAAGTGCAAGGAATGAGGGGCTGTGGTCACCAAAAGCTTTTGCAGCCTCTGCGCGATCAAAGTTTTGGTAAGGTACCTTAGTTGGAGACTGGAAACAATTTTCACCATTACAACATCACCAGAAGACAATACCCGATGCAGGTATGAACAAAAGCAATGAAAGCGCCGACTTTGGGAACAAATACAATTGGTACTCTCCGTAATGCCGTCAAGAACCCAGCAATCACGCTACTTCACTCCCATTATCTACACGATTGGTTCTACTTTCTCCTGCTCCACTTCGATGGACCATCCGCAAAATTGTCCCTGTGTATGGCGACTGATGGCCATTAGCTGCCATTGCAGTAGAGTGGCACAGTAATAATTGCCCAGGACTCGAACGCCCCGACGGACCATTTTGCGATTAGATAAATTAGTACGTACCGATGACCCTTGCCCGGGGAAGGCAAGGTGTTGGTGCCAGGTGGGACCCGGTAAAGCACGGGTAGCGCTCCTGACAGACCGTACCCCTGCAACGGTGCACTAAAGTTTAGTGTCGTCAAGGGCCACTTCGGCGGCCCGGTTGTCATCCGTGTAAGTCGAAAAATGGGTCCCGATAGCTGACAGCTGCGCCGACTTAGAGACAATGGACCGGACATTGGGAACAGCGTCAACGCGGCTGCTTTGAACGGAAAGAATTTGAGTGGCATTGTCGATAATCTTCCGGGTTTTGTCTAGGCGGCTCTGCTGTCTGGACTTGTTCCCAATGCTCTCACCCTTTGGATGATGGAATGCTTGGTCCGAGAGAAAATGTTGGACCCGCGAGAGCTCTCTCCCCCGTTCATCTTGAGGTGGGACTCCCTCCATTGAGCTTTGCTGCGGGGACACCCATCAGATTCCGAGATTATAGCACAGAAGAAACTAATAGCCTACGGGACAAGGGGGCCAACGTACAATAGGTTGAAAAGAAGAGGGCCGTTCTGAATTCTAAAGATGAACCTGGGTCTCTCGGCAGCCACTAAAAGATCGACTCGAAATGGCGGGTACGTGGGCTGTCCGTAGACCGGTTAAGGCTAAATCGGCCAAGCTTGGTCTAAGAAATAGAACAGGACGTTGTTGCAAGATAATCAAAGTGATAGAAGGTATTGGGCAGCGCGAGCTCGGAGGAAGGTGCGGGAAAGATGAAGGCGGTGGTCAAAGTGAGCAGAGCGTCAATAGAGTAGCAGAGAAGCAAAGTTCATCCAAATAGAAAGAGCCACAGGATGTCGGTTGAATGCCAGAATCTTGCTGGACTTTTCATCAGCGGACGGCGTGGTATTTAAATGTTTGGTGCGTTTCCTACTTTTGGTGGGAGAGGAAAAGGGACGCGTGGGAACTCTGAAGAAAGATGACCACGGTTCACGGGAGGTGGTCGGCCCAAGTCTCGCAGTCTCGCAGTCTCGCACCAGGGCGTGGTGGCTCTCGCACCAGGGCGTGGTGGCTCTCGCACCAGGGCGTGGTGGCCTGGCCGGAGGAACCAAAGCAGCTCCCTTTCTGATCCCTGTCCCCTGCTGCAGAGAAGGACAGGGGGTGCAGGGATGGCTCGCGTCCCCTAGCGAATGAGCACACAGAACTTGGCTGCTATTCAAGTTCTAGTGATCCAGGAAGTGATCGTGAGCGTGGGCGTGGGGAATTTGCATGACAATGTTGGGTTCCGATTTGTGTGTTTGTGTGTTGCCCTGCATGCGTAGCTACAGTTAGAAGGGGAGATGTGCTAGGTCCTCAAGCAGGGCGCCTGATTAGTTGAGAGGCACGACGTAGCGGGTCTTCTATGGGATTCTTTCGAACGTGGAACAGCAACCGAGGAGAGCACCAGCATTCAATCAGTTCGTCGCCCTGACTTGCGTTCGATCCCGCATGGTCAGGGTGAGGGACAGGCGTTCAATCAGCGTGTGAAAGTGGTCCAATTCACACCGTACGGCGTAGTCGTGCAGTGACTGGTGCGCGGTTGTCAGAGCATGATGATTTTGGCACCTTAGTGCAAAGCTCAGCAGGTAGCTGAAGCCAACAGCCTGCTGACATCTCGATAAGGTGAATGGGTGAAGAGTTGCCATTTGGCGCCCACATTCCCGACGTAACCGGCGCGCCGAACGATGTTCCAATTTTTGAAACTGAGCTGCAACTTACCTGACCTAAGCTAGTGATTTCGCCCAACTTTTCCTTGTGCGACTGTCTGCTATCTACCCTTCCGCGCCCGTTCATCCAGCGCCTTTATGAGCGGTCCCTACTTGACCCCGGTACGATTCGAAGGCAGTCGACCGTTGCGCCCACAACTGCCGCTCGGATTCTCACTTCCACCCCGTGGCGTGAGATAGCAGCGTCAAAAAACAACATTGCCGCAACGTTGGTAAAGACGCTCGTTCAGAACCATTATTGAATCCCTGGTCTTGAGACACAGAATCGCGTCTTGGTTACTTGCCCAAAAAAGCACGCACCCCAAGTCAGTGACGAGTATTCTGGCATCCGAAAACCTACGCTTTCTTATCTTCTGCGTGGCTCTAAGGTGGCAGAATACCGGTCGCAAGCTCTTGAGGTGCTGTTTGTTCCTCTAGAGAGAACTCTGATGATCTGGCCAACTGGTATGAAGAAGGTATAACATTTAAGTGTCTTTCCTCTTGGGAAGCCTAAAAGACTTGCGTGATGGCAACTGATTGACATGTTTAGTTGGTGCAAATAGGCTGTCAACTTTTGCATTGCCGTGTGTTCTCCTATAACAAAGTGAAGTAAACGTTGGGTATATCGCGTAAAATCATACAAACTTCTTCTTCGTCAACTCGAAACTTCCTGATGGAAACATTCAGGCCGTTATAACATGCCGGAGTAAAGAAAGGTTGTCAAGGCATGCTATCTTTGGGAGTTGAATTTTATAGCCATCTCACATCGAATCAAGAAACGATGGAATTTTTGTAATGTAGTGGGCAAGAATGGATATGACCTTCAAGACCCACGAGGAAACCTTTGGTGCTTCAAAGTAACGCAAGTGGAGTGCTTCACGGTAAATGATAGGGATGGTGAAATTTGACAGATGGGCTAGATCTATGGCTCACAAACATACGGATCATTGGCCTGGGTGTTGACATATAACCCGCCCCTTTCTCAACACCTGCAACAAGAGGGAATAAGCTGAGAGGGTAATTCATGTCTAAAGAAGTGAGATGAAATATACAGAGCAAAGCCAAAAACAAATGGCTTCAAATATTTCCGACCAAATCCGCCAACACTTCCTTTCTCCGATTGAAGAAGATACTGGCATGTGTGTCGTCTTCGATTCTGAGGTTCGCACTACTTCCCAGCCGCTTTGCAATTTGTATTCCGTGATTCATGGGGACAAACGTGTCATGTTTACCATACCAGAGCCGTATAGGCAAATCAGACCGAATGTCCTCGATACGGAATCCAAACTCCGTGCCAATCAGGTGACCATCATTGGTTACGCCATCAATCCCCTGAGCGTAGTACTGTCGACTTGCCATGATCATTCGCCCCACAATCTCTCTGTCCGTCCAGATCCCGGTTTCTTGCTTCGCAAAAGTTGCTTTCTTCTTTTCCGCATCCTGGAGTTGTCGTTCGAGTCGTTCTTCGTCCGAGAGATGAAAGCGCCCTTGCTGATGGAAGAACCATCCGGCGATTCGAGGGACGTAGCGCCACCCGTAGTTGAACCCGACCCAGTGGAACCATCCGGCTCCGCTCATACCGATGTCGGGCGGCCCGATACCGCAGACGATGGATACGCATTTGAGCTTCTCGCGAGGAATTGAGGTCGCACAGGCTAAGGCGTAGGGACCGCCTCCAGACACGCCCTATCAAATGTCAGCAACAGAGTCACAGTACGAGCGGTTTACAAACATACCAGAACACCGTATTCCTTCAGCTTCAAATGCGTCGCAAGGTGTTCCAAGTCTTTGGCGTGGTCGAGTAGTGTCCGTCCGGGTTGAGAAGTGCTTAGTCCCATTCCCGGACGATCTGTTGCAATGATTCGAGCTCCTACATCCAAGGCTGCTTCGTGAAGGTGGCCAGCTTCGACACGCGAGCCTGGGAGGCCATGACAGTAGAGGATCGGTTTACCCGTCGCGAGTCCAAACTGCGAATACCCGAGCTTTCGTCCATCTGGCAGCGTGAAGGTGTCAGAGGTATCGGGCTCTGGAACCAATCTCGTACCCAAAGGCGGAGGTGATAATTCCGCTGTAATCGCTCCTGCGTTGCTGTTCCCAAACAGCAATGACTTGATGTATGATATTGACATTATGGCGGATGCATGTGTAAAGCGCTAGCGCCTCGAACGTCCTCCAAATATGCACACTGCGGATGGGGCTTGTATTTATGTAATTTTTGTCCAAGATCATAGTGCTTATGTCGGTCCGGAAGGATGCGGCGTTGGCATGAAGATCGCGAATGGTTTGGTCGCATCGGGCTAGACTCCCGAAAGTGCCCGACGTTGCGCACGGGGCTCAGATATTGGTCGTTCAACTTCGGGTAGTACATTGCCCCGTCGTTGTAAGCACACGTGAGCTCGTGAGTCACCAGCTAATCTACGGAAGGTTTTTCGTCTGGAGACCATTATCCCTCGTTGGGTTTGGGAAAATGAGAAGCTCTAGACGATGGACTAGGGTTCCATGCAACCCATGGTGGAACTTGAATGGTGATGGGGTGGTGGGTATCAAGCCCCACTGATCCCATCCAAGGATACCATGAACTAATTTAGAGTTCACTGAACTAGAACGGGTCCCTGTTGAGCCAAATTTGACAACGTCCTTGTCCCTGTAGATTGTCCTTCATATTCTAGATATCCTAGACGGCTAAGCTAGGAAAAGATAGGAAGTGTACTTACAAAGAAACTATGGAAGATTGCTTCTCAAGAAGTCTATGTCCATCACGTAGCAAGGGTTTTCAGGGTGATAGCACAGGGTCGGTTATTGTTACCTACTTAGTCCTTGTCCTCAATTGTAGCAAACAAGCCATTGGGGGCAAACCTGTCGCACTACAAGCTCTACCTATAGTCTATGAATCTAGTCATGCTTTGAAAATTGGCACCCGAGCCCCAAAAGATCTGCTTGTAGAAGAGTGCAGCTACCTTCCTCAACCGTGATAGTATCGAGAATGCCGTGCAACTGCGTCGATAATTCTTCTATCTCCTTGGTAATTCTCTCTTGACGCGCCCCGGGACTCTCAAGGATACTCGTACGCATCAATGACATGTCTCTTATAGCATCACCCCCATTTCCTTGGTTGAAGAAGAACTCTACTCTAGATAGTGCTTCCATCTTCCTTTTCCGTATTCGATCCCGTCGCTTGTGAGCCCTAATATTGACACGTTCATCAGTATTACCGCTGTATGAAGGCTCAGGTAGAATATGTTGTACTTGGGAACCAAGCTTGTGGATGCAAATGAGCACATGAGGTAAGTCTTACCTCTGAATACTACGCTCTTCCATCGATATGATGGATGGCAGAAATCCTCGAAAGTTCTTTCTACAACCATACAATCTGGATGCTGCAATGGGATCTCGGAAGCGCTTACAGAGTAAAAGCTGGGAGTAGCTAAAACGGGAGTGTCGAGTGGAAGTTGAGGAGACCATCACGCTTGTGGCGGAGGGGATACCGGCTTTTTGGGGGAAACGTGAGAAGTAGCCTTGGCTCCTGGAAAAGATCTATCGAACAGTCAGTAAGATCGAGGGACATGGAGAGCCAGAGACTCTCATCAAGAAACAGTGGCCGCTGGAAGTATTTGTCGCTAGGCCTCACTCTGAGCCTCGGTTCTGGGCCAAAATAGGTAAACCAGTGTAGCCTTACCGGGCAAATTAGTAGAAATTCGTTGCGTGAAACAGTCTTACCCTTGATCGGCAAGGAACGAGTCATTGAGTTTACGGGCTTCTGAGGTTAGAATGCTGGCATTCTTCGCAAGCATGCATTACGTGTTTTCAGCTGGACAGATCCCCAGGGCCATGGGCCCAGCCATTCTCATCGATGTCTCAGGAGGGCCAGGCTACCTGTGATAAGGCTGATCAAGACACGGCCAATGCTTCTATCGTGCATGATGCCTGTCTCAACCAACATCCCAACAAGAAGGCCTTTGATGTGGGTGCTTTTGCGTCAGAATCAGTGCAATTTCGCAGTCAAGACACTGCAATGGCGATTGGCAACCGATTCATTCAGTGATGCTCTCCATGACTCGTAGTCTCTGGCTTGAGATAGCGGATATTCATGTCTCTGCTTGAAAAGCAGCCACAGCCACGAATCCCGACTTAAGAGTAAGCCCGGCCAGTCTCAGCCCTATGAACTTTTGTTATGCGCCGTGTCGCGTGCAAGCCTCCGCGAAAGCGCATTGAATTGGCTGATAGATTTCAAGAAGCGAAATAAATCTACATCATTCCAGATTCAAGAGGGCGATGCATTGCAGATCAGGTGGCATGTGCAGAGACCAATGCAGCATCCGCTTCATAGCTTCCAAGGTCTTTGACGCCAATTGTCTTGATGGCTGCATATGAGGGTTAATTAACTCATGCAAGGTCGTAAAGGCGCATAATGGGAACTGGATTGTCAGGGTCTCCAGCTTTGCATGAAGCAAAGTGGTAATACGTTGTACATAACCAGGGCATAGGCACTGAGACAACCGTCAGACCTTGCTGAGTGAAGACAAGGTACTTGGCATGCTATTCCCCTGAGGTGGAGTTATTTATTTTATTCCTTGAGTCTGCTTCGGAACTTCCGAAACCTCTTTTCTGAAAGGAATGGCGTTCTGGGGGAATTTTCAGTTAGGGATAGGGAGAGAAGTGAGACTGCAAGCCCTATCCCGTCTCGGACTGTCTTTCTTGGCTTACACGGGACCTGTGAACAATACTGGATCGTATGAAAGTTTCCCATCTGCATCGGCAAAATATGGATGTGTCATACATCAAAGCAGAGCTTTCGCCTCGTGGGCCCATGAAAGCCTCCAACCGCTCGGCCTGGGATGCGGGTCACCGCATGGGCAGATTGGCCCCACCTCGGCCCGAGACGGGACCACAATGCGGCGAGTGGGGCCAGTGGAGAGTGCCAGGGTTATTCAAGGTACGGTACCCGCGATACCTCGCCTTAGGACTTTTGAGATGCAGCGCTGCAGTGCTTTTGTGGACGAAACAACTAGAGTTGAGATGCTAAAAAGCGGCAATAGAGAAGTTGAAGATGTTTTAACCCAAAAATTTAGCACTTAAGCCGCACCTGGCACTGGTCTTTGCGCATGTCTCTTCCGCACATGGACATTGAACCTTCTATTCCATCAAGAATGCCTTCGACGACTCTTTGACAGGATCAGTGCCTGCCTCATTGAATCTCAGCCCCGAATAAAAGTAGAGAAGGTGATCTCTTTTGTAAATGCCATCGCTGGTCGGGCAGGCTTTCAGATTGACTGAAGCTCGGTTGCACTGGTACTTGGTACCTTGTCCCTGACTAAGCGAGAAGGAACTCTTGCCGTTTCGCAAGTGACCTGCTGTCAGACCTCAAGGCAGTCTCCCTCCACGTGCCTTCCCACCTTTGAAAGCATGTTCTACCTCAGCCTCAGCCGCGTGGCTTTCCAACGTTCCCGGCGTCAAATGGGAACTTTCCGTCTGCTTCTGGCATCGACATTGACGCATAGAGCGCTGCTCCCATATCGAGTACAACTAAGGGATCACCACTTGCTGCAGAAAGTTTCGACATGCAATGCGTCATTTTGCTCCTTGCTGAAGTTTCGTGTCGACTTTTCTCATGGCATCGCGCGCACGAGCTTCGTGTTCTCCGGACCCGTTCGGCACGCTGTGGCTGAGTCTTCGGTACAAGCTGGGATCCGTCTCAACAAATTCAGTGACACGGGACTGACACTGTGCGGCTTGGTACGCTGTATTCGCCATTGTTCTCAAATTGAGTTAGATTTCGGGTACCAACGGTCTAGGTAAGACATGGTAACGAACCTTGTCGCCGAAGCGCCATTGACAAGGACGGAGACGTCTGAGGCAGGCATACTGCAACTAAGGAGGTACTTTTTGACCACAGAGAGGGATTGGAAACGTGTCGTCTCAATGGGGGTAATTTGGAAATAATTTGATCGCTAATTTGCTGTTGCAGATGACTCAATGTCAATGGTCTGCTTGAGGGGGAGAAAGCCATGGAGTTCATTGCAGGGTCGCACGTACTTATGGCTGACGGCTGATCGTGAGGCCAGGGCCAACACACTCACTCGCCCATCGTACTGACGAGGGTGAGTCCAAGAAGAGGAGCTCTGCAGTCACACAAATTTTCAGGGCCTCAATCCCACGACAGAAAGGACAAAAGCCTTCGCAACAGCCTCAAGTATGTCAGTGCTGTGGACCTAGTCCCAATGCCGAGCGTGGGACGAATTCTATTGGATGGAGCGCCATGTCGGTCAATTCGTCCAATTGGATGGAGTGCCACGTCGGTCAAGATCCCGCCCAAGGCCGTTTATGGGAAGAAAAGAACAAGATCCCCGGGGTAATTTCGAAAAGGAGTTGGACTGAGACTCGTCGGTTTCACCGGCCCTGCGTTTTTCGAGGGACCGCTCAGGATCGTGGGAGGGTGAACTCGGACCATCGCTTTACCTACTAGTCCGTTGGCCATTCTGGCCTCACATGACAAGACCGGCTGCAAGTTGCCTGCGGATGCCTTACGACGAGTTCATCGCCGTGGAGTTTCCAGCTACTTGGCGCCAACCTGTTCCGGCGGCTTCAAGGCGATTGGCAATATATCCGTCAAGCTTCTAGCCTTCCCCGCGGAAGCAAGGCATGCATCCGGCACCAGCATGCCGGACACTCGAAAACCCACTGAGGTGCCATTCTCCCAGAGATAACCAGGTTCCGCGGTCACATAAACCATGCTCCCCTAACTTGCCAGCTCAATCGAGCCTGGCTTAGTGGTCAACAAGGAACTCTGCGCCAGTGGAACGGCCCATGCCGGGGCCACGTTGTTTTGCCCCAGGATGCTGTCGCCACACATCCACTTGCCTCTTTCGGTGTTCCGGAGGTAAAAGAATAGCTTTATCAGTTGACTCTGGGGATGTACGAATCGGATTTGGGAGAAACAGCAACCCCATACTCAGGGAGTCTTGCGCTGCATCGGCACTGAATGGATACGTCCCTATTGGCGAGCGCAAGATGAGGCCAAGGATGACTACCTTTCCGCCGACACCCTTTTGCAATGGGAGATCTCAAAACGCCGCCTCCTTTGAATATGAGGCCCTGCTCTCGCCTCTCGATCGACAGGCTGAATATTACATCGTGAGTAACACATCGAGCTGTATCACACCTCCTTGTACATGCATACTACGAACAAGCGGCAGGAGGAGGAAGAGTCAGGACTCCCAGGAGTAATGACGAATTTTGGGTGGTGCAAATCGGCACCCCATATTCATCACGGACTCCGCCTTGTTTGCGCCCTTGAAAGGATTGGGCGCTTTGAGCGACGTGCCACCGCCGGCTACTGCAGCCAAACTCCCCGTGTGCCCCCCAAGAGCCTGAGAAGACGCTGGTGTCTTGTGAAGTCGAGCTATGTCGAAAATCTCGGATGCGACAAGCCGGAGAGGCCTTCGGCGAGCTAGGTCCGGGCCTAAAGCCGGAGCAAAAAGCTGGCCAGCAAGTCGTTGGCTTCGAGCCTTTGGAGTTGGCTTAAGCGTTTAGGCTTCATCCGTTCCGGCGCCGTTAAAGCTATGGTCTCACGTCATGACGTCGAGCGTCAAAAGCAGTACCCCTCATCAACTTCAGATGACAGGAAGTGCTTGGGCCCCCCCACACATCCGAAATATTCGGAGTCGCTCCCCAAGTCGTCCCCACGTCGTTTGCCATCGCACCTTGCGCGGTGAGAGGTCGCATGTCGGTGTAGCGGCATTCTTTTCGCTGGTGTGTCACAGCTTTGTGCATGTTGCACCTATTCGACTGCAACAAGATGATGCGCTTCAGATTTTGTGCTCGGCCACGTTTCCTCGCAGGGGTACGGCCGTATTATTTTTTGTAAGGACCGAGCTGCATATAAGATGATAAGGTCATGTCACAATATCAGTTTTCAGATCAGGTCATGCCTCCAATATGTCGCTTCACGATGATCCCCCCGCAAACACTCATCAGTGGTCCCTACTCGAAGCCTCACGTCAATCCAGGCAACTTTTGGCGAAAAAGCGCTCGGCGGCGCGTGCAGTAGTCACCGCTACCTTCCACCGCTAAAGCAATTGAGGTTTGTGAATTCTTTTCTTCGCTTATTGGCATCAATATGTACAAGAAATGGGAAAGAATTCACCACGCAGAACTACTCCCGTCAGACCCCATGTCACCGGTGACTATCGCTAGCGCTCTCGGTCAAGGTGTGCGTATCCGCATCGGGAGCCCTGCAGACGGTTGGTTGGAGCCTGGAGGTGAAGTTCCGACGATGCGCTCTAGAAAAAAATGTCATTCTGGGCACCTGGCTTGAAACCCATCCTGGCGTTGTACCCGGGGCTATAACCGACATCCTGCACGTTGTTTCCTTCGGCTTCTACGAGAACGTCAGCACTTGGACTGGTGGAAAGGGGCGTCATCACCGTTCGACAACTCACGATTCCAAGCAATCAGTTGTTTCGGTCCAGCGACACACTTTTTCGAATCATCTCGGCAAGCAACGGGCGACTTAGCGATACCCAGTCGCTTCGTGGACACGGCGTTGGTAACATTGCATTTGAAGTTTTGCATGTACCTTTTCGGCCTGTCAGTATCTTGCCCTCCGATCGTGCCTGGTTAAGGTGACTTACATGTTGGGCTGGCCACCTGCGATGAACGAGTCAGTCAAATGCGCCAAGGGGGGCTCATAAGCGAGGGCGATCTTACATCCATCTGGAATCCAGAGCCAAGCGCAGTAGCAGCCTCCCACCGGGCAGGCAGGCAAGTCCGGAACTTGGTACGAAGCTACGCGTTTCCAAGGCGTGCTGTTTTCGACTACAGTCGGTTGCTGACAATTTTTTGTCCAACAGGTCCCAACCTACTGCTCGACAACCGAAAAGACGACGAGGTTCTCCATTGTCACCTTTCTGATATCTGACTGATAGCTGATGGCGAATGCTGTGCCTGCCGTGGTGGTATAGTTTTGCGTGTGCATCGCACCTCCTTTACCGTCCGGGTTACCGACGAGACACTTGCCCGGCACAGGCGCATGCCAGTCTTCTGGGTGTTCGCTGCAGTCTGGCCACTGCGTCGCGGTCTTGCCGCCGTAAGAAAGGCTCTTGCAGCCGCGGTTGGCCCCGAGGTCGACGGTGAACTTGCCCCTGGCGAGTAGGTTGAGGAACTGGCCCGGTGGAGGGGGCACGTTACCTTGTCGCATCCGTAGTCAGCTTGCATCCACCACTTGGATTTCGGGAGTTGGTGAAGCGGGTTGATCACAAGTTTGATTTTGGAATCGTCTACTATAGTGTTGCTGTCATCGGCTTGCTTAGCATTATGCTTATCACAAAGGATCATAGGTCGTGGCACTAAGAGACTCACTCGGCGATACATGCAATAGGCCTTAGCAGAAATGTGTCCCTCAACGATACCAGCGGAGATCAGCGCCGAACCAAGCCTAGACGAGATCTTCATTGTATCTTGATGATTTCTTGACGAAGGCTATCTGTTGGAGGTGGACGACTGAGGCAGGAAAATCGTGGACAAGATCTAGAAAAGGAGTGGATGTGGAGCAGTTGCCTGAAAGGAATGAATCAGCCCTCGGGGCTTGATTTGAAAAGAAGGACAAGTAACGAGGGATGTGACCGGCTTGCACAAGACGACGGACTCAATGAAGCTTTTTGGCAAGTGGCGAACACCTTATAAATATCGCAAGTAAGGGGACATCTGGGGGTAGTCGAGATTAAGGAAGTTGTGACGTTGACATCGTCTGTGCGGATCAAAAAGCTAGCCCGTGTCGTCTGTCTGGGCGTCTGACACTTTTCCTTCCTCCGAATCTCGATATGGCGCTAGATAGACCATGGCGGACAGGCAGCACTTGAGTTCGTTATTTTGGCGGTTGTTACTAGCGAGATTAAGTAAAAGAAATACAGTAGAGGAGTGGCTTCGGATAATTTCAAAGTCTCATCGTGGGGTTTGCTTGAGGCAAGAACAGTCGTGGATGCTTGAGATCGCCGGGGAGCCTGCCGAGGGAAACGAACGCAGAAGAGGGTGCTGGGTTAATTACGCACCGGTACTGGTGATTGCAGCATCCGCACGCGCACAGAATGTCTTTTCATGAGTCAGAAAAACACATTGTCCCGTGCTTAGTCGACGACGGCCGATTGCATCGAGGCCGAAGCTACGATTTTCTTTACGTCGGCGCCGTGAATATTTACCGAGCCAACACCGCCCATCCCTCCCAGCTTATGTTGAGTCCCCCCACAATGCTCCATTATCCACGCGGCTAGGAGCAATGAGGCCGGTCTCGCCTTCTTGCGTCTTGCGTCGGCCTTGACCATTTATGGCAAACTTGTTCCCGTCAAGTGCTACAAGACTTCTATTTTAAGTCATTTCGAAAGGTGTCGAACGCCAAGTGGGAGGCATAATTTCGCCCTCCTCAAGACTCTTCACTGTAGCACTTATCACAAGCGAGCTTCTCACCGTTCGATATGGCCTCTGACCTCGCCGAATATCCATTAAGGGCCTGCGAACTATCGTACGACCTCACGAGCAGTCCGCAGCCTGTTCCCAGCGAAGCCACAATTCTATCTTCGGAGCAGAGCATTTGCACGGATCATATGGTTGTTGCGTCATGGAAGCATGGCATCGGATGGTCGAAGCCTGAGTTGAAGCCCTATGGTCCGCTTAACCTACTCCCGACCGCGTCCTGCCTTCACTACGCCACCGAGTGCTTCGAAGGCCTGAAGGCCTACAGAGGTCACGACGGCAAGCTCAGAGTTTTTCGCATCGAGCATAACGTTGCTCGTCTACGAAGCTCAGCCGCCAGGATCTCCCTCCCTACGTTCGAGCCTGGGGAAGTCAAGAAACTTGTTCTTGGCCTGTTGTCAGTGGATGCCGACCGCTGGCTCCCTGAGGAACAGTCTGGCGGCTTTCTCTACGTCCGTCCCACGATCATTGGTACTTCGCCTCAGCTTGGCGTCCAACCGCCCAAGGAAGCCATATTGTTCATCGTTCTGGCATATATGCCTCGTCTCGATGTACCACCAGGGGGTATGCGACTGTATTCGTCTCCGAAAGACGCTGTTCGGGCCTGGGTCGGTGGTTTTGGGTACGCAAAGATCGGAGCGAACTATGGGCCTTCGGTTTTGGTTCTACAGGAAGCTGCTGCTAAAGGATACCATCAAGTCTTGTGGCTCTACGGAGAAGATGGGGAGTGCACTGAAGCTGGTGGGTGCAACTTCTTCGTTGTATGGGTTCGCAAGGATGGCAAGACTGAGCTCATTACGGCACCCCTGGATGATAAGGGAATCCTCGATGGAGTTACAAGACGAAGCTGCCTTGAACTTGCGAGGGAAAGACTTGGCGAGGAGATCGTAGTCTCAGAACGCAAGTTCACAGTCACTGAAATCATGGAGGCCGCGGCTGAAGGTCGTCTGTTGGAGTCATTTGCCGCAGGTACTGCTGTGAGTGCTTATCAATCACCGTGATACTCGATCCCGCACTGACGAATTTAGTACTTCATCTCAGCAGTTTCCTATATTCACAATCGCGGGCACGATATCTGTGTGCCAATGGGTGACGCCGGGAAGGGAGCGAAGATCACTAGCACTCTCAAACAATGGCTCACAGAGATCATGTACGGCGATACTGAGCATGCGTGGGCTGCGATTGTCTCTACTTCAGAACGAGAAATCTTGGAGTCTTGACGGGGCAATTCGCACTAGGTTGGCCAGAAATGTCTAATATACAATACTTGGGGTAGGCTCCACGAAATGATTGCTGGCTAGCATCAGTCTTACCGTCTTTATTATCAAGTTAAGTCAAAAACCTTAGAGAGAACAGGCCTGCGCAGATCTATAGATTAGAATTAAGAATCGATGCTCCTCGGCTGCTCGACTTTGGTCCGACAGGACGCAATCCTCTCTTGTAATGAGTATCCCATTTCCAATATCCCTACTCATCTTATCTGGAATTCGCTGGCGGGGGGCAAGAAGCCTCTTTTTACAGCCACCCGAAAGCCCCCTAGCCATTTCCGGGCTATTTTTTCATATCCAGTATCGTTCGGATGTGTCCCATCCGCCACCAAATCTTCCATGGCGGGCCCGTCGTTCCTTTGCAAGTCGACGAACACAATTTTCCTGCCTTCAAGAGTCAATTGGCGTGCTAGTCTCTCCGCCTCAATATTGAATTCCTCAACCCGCTGCTGCACGACCTCGTTCTGGTTGACCAGTAGGCCTGAGAGAATAATGGTTGAGCCAGGCGAGGCAACCCAGAGGGTGTCCAAGAGGTGAACAAGGCGGTATCGTGCTTCTGTCAACTTGTATCCCTGTAAACAATCGTTGGATCCGGCGTTCACAGCGAAGACATGCAGCAACAACTTCGCTGCTGATAGCTTCGCTCTGGCCTCGATTTGGTCGATCCTATACCCCCGCCAGCCTTCATGTTCGTTGTTAAAATGGGTGCCGGATCTACGGGATCCAACCATGCAGACGTTGTAGCCGCAGCCGTGCAGTAACTCAGAGAGTTTCTTCCGATACCCGTTTTGATCAGAAGAGCCGACGCCGTGTGTGACTGAGCCCCCCAATGGCATTAATCGAAGCACAGGTCGACATTCGGTTGTTGAGGTAAGTTCTGAAAGAAGGATGTCAGTTTGAATGACAATGTTCGAGTCATTTAGAGGATATCACAAAGGCCCCGAGTCTAGGATTGTACTAGGAGTGGAGGCGTACATACTGGGTTGGGTGCAGTGAGCAGCCTTCTGGCGGTGGAAACCGCATTTGGCGGCTTGCGAAAAGTAGCCGACGTTTACTTTACATATGAAGTTCCGCAGCATTGAGCATATGAGAATCTGGTCCTGAAAGCAGAACCAATTAAGCAATGCAGGAAGCAAAAACGCGGGGGAAAAGGGAAACCAAAATGGGGGACATCATTATCTCGTACTAGTGAGAGAAAAGAGTGGTACACGGAGGTCGGGCAAACCATCTTTAGCCGAACATGACATAGCTCGGCGGAGAGCTTAGCGGCCGGAAACTTGCCGCGACTCCTGAGGTCTCACCTATCTACATACACATCTGGCCAATGAATCCCTTGCGAGTGCTCTCCTCGCACAGCAGCCTCCAAAAAGTGAACATCTATCACTGGTTGGGATAGCAGCTCTTGCAACGACGGCTCTGGCCAAGGTGCACCTGCGGCTGGGACTACTCCATCAGCTAAGTTTCGATCAATATCCTGGGTGAGACTATCGTCGCAAGAATCTGCTACTCCATCTGATTGTGATTGGGTATGTGCTTTTAGGTTCGACAACATCGTTGACTCCATCACTTCAACATGGCGACTATATTCCTGTGCCACCATATTCCCAGCCATCTTTAGTTGGTCGAGGAGACGAGATGCCTCCTCGTAAATATCCCGATCAAGACGACTGCCTATCCCATCCAAGAGACTCGAAATGGCGAGGATCGTTAATGACGAGAAGAGGTGTTGTGTGAAGAAGCAATCAAAAGTCATAAAGGTTCCGTCGATCCACGCTCGTGTGAGTAGCCTCGTAGACTGATGAGCGCATCGTATGCATGCCTTTGACAGTGCTGTCGCTTCGTCAGGGATATTGGATGTTGCTGGAGACGATCCAGGACGCGAGTTGGCAATCTGGATTCGCAAAGCATGTAGCAAAAGTGGTCGAGTAGCCAAAATCACACACTAGTAAAGATCAGCTTCCTGAAGGTACTGTAAAGGATGCCTGATTGATGGTGATGGCTAACCTGATAGAAACGCAGATGGAGAGCGACGACTTTATGATCATGAGGCTGGTTCAGAGATCCATCCCCTATTTGTAATGGCCCAGGTAAGATTTCAACCCAGGATTGTAAATCTTTGAGACAGCCGTGTACGCGGCTAGAAAGGTTTGCGCATGTACCTTCAGCTTGCGTTCGGACGCTGTAGACAGACCGGATTATGGAAGTGAGTAGACCAGCTAGTCTGATATCAGCAACATGATAATCAGAGTCACCGCGGCTATCTGTCGAGGTCGAATCAGATGGCTCGCAAGGCAGGTCAACACCAATGTCATCATCTTGAATTGCCGGTGGGTGATTTAGGTTCGCAGCATAGAGTCGGTCGATGATATATGCCGTCCAAAAGAGGCTTTTTCGATGCCGGCGGACCATGGGGTCTGGCAATTGAGACTCCGGGATGTTAAGGTGTAGACCGATGACAACAGCGACACGGACGGCAGTACCCGCAAAGACGTACGCACTATATCGTCGGTTTAGGGCCATGGAGTAGAAAGACTGTCTAAAGGTTAGTCGCCGCTGGACGGTTTAGGGGAAATACTTACCAAAAGAAGATAAAGCTCAACGGTTTCGACTTCGGGGCGCTCGTCAAGGTGTCCTAAAGCCTTGGATGCTTGCGCAAAGTATGCCATTCCAGGGAAACCGTGTACACCAGTGGATTTAGAGATATAAAGCTCCCCGATAGCAAACAAGGCCCAAGTTCTACAACGAAGAACTATCGCTTCCGGGCTCGCGTCATGAGTGTTCTGCTTCCAACTTTCTGTAATTGCTTGTGTTTCCACTATGTGATATGAACGCCCAATGTACTTCATAGCAGCCTCAAGCAGAAACTTCGCGCGAGAAGGCCCTGGCCATGGTGTGTTGACATGAGCCAGCGACATCATGGAATCGTTGGAGGCATAATTCAGTCGTATGAGGTGGATAGGCTCGGGAGCTAACGGGTCCGTGATGACCTGGCGAAATCGAGTCGCAAAAGCGGCGTCGGCAGCCTCGCCGATGAGGACAGGGCTTCTGAAGACATTCAGACTGTCGAACCATGGGTCGATACTGATTGCTGGACTTGTCTCGTTTTCCGCGGACTCTGTAGATGGTTCTGGCTGAAGGTCTAGAGGAGATTGAAGTGATTGCAGGGCACTTCCGTCGGGAGTATTTGTGTCGTGGGAGTCATCGATTTCCACTGTGCGGGAGTCCAGCCGAGATGTACTCTGCCGCTTCAGTCTATCAATTTCCTGGAATAGTTCATCAAGTAAACTTGATCAACGGACCATCAGCAACAGAGACATAGCAATGAAATGGGGCCTTCAAGAAGGGATGTTGGCTCACCTTTGCGGGACCTTTACAGTCCTATTCCTTTGCGGAAACGAGCACTCGTTCGCTTTGTCAGACTGTTGGCAATTCTGACACGGACGGCCGCCGCTACACTTCACCTTCCTTTCGTGGCATCGATGACAACTATGGAAGCAGTGAGCAGCCGGGGGCTTCTTTTACTGGCATTGGGACGCTCGGTATCGCCCATGAAGGACTCACGCGGTATTTTTTCCAGCGAGCAGAGCGCTGCGGATACTTCTAGTAGTACTGCCGGTAAGGATTGATTCTGGCGTTCTCTGCATTTCGCCTGCTGATGCTGATGTTTCTTGGTATAATTGGGAAAGAGGATGGCATCTAGGTCCCATACAGAGTGCTTTGTTCGTGCGCTCGGTGAAACTACGACCTGCCGGAAAGTTGCTTCAATTCTGGAATAGTTGTGGCAAAGGATTTCGGAGGTTGGACATTTTGCCGAGGGGACTACCAGCGTGGCCGAAGAGAGAGCAACAACCAACTCTAGAACAATGTTCTTTCCCACGATGGGCGTACTTTAGAGGATTCGGTCAAAACCTTCAAGGTGGGAGATATAAGAATGAGGCTTCCTCACAGGGAATAAACAAATTGTGGCAAGTGTCTGTACGTGAGGTCGCATATTCTGTTTTTCCAAACCCAACTTTTACACCATGACCATCGACTACTCTCATCACCACAACGACCGCCGGCTGTCTGAGGCTGCTGCAAAGGCCGCCGCTTCTTGCGTCCAGAATCTCAGTAATTGGGGTCCCGCCGTGAAAGAAATTCAGACGTGGCCCGAATATCGGCCTGAGCCACTTAGAGACCTGCCCCAACTCGCTAAAGCGCTTGGTCTTGGCAACATCTTCATCAAAGATGAGAGCAGACGGTTCGGTACTGACATGGGCTCTTTCAAGGCTCTGGGTGCACCCTTTGCGGTGTATCGGATCCTCGCCGACGAGGTACACCGTCAGATCGGCGTTTATCCGTCGTCGGCCGAGCTTCGTACAAGCAAATATCATCCTATCACGCAACAAGTGACTGTCTGTGTGGCGACAGACGGCAACCAAGGGCGAGGACTTGCATACGGCGCCAAAGTCTTCGGGTGCCGCTGCGTTGACTACATCCACGGCCATGTCAGTCCCGGGCGTGCCAAGATGATGATGGATCTCGGCGCTGTTGTCGTTCGAATCGATGGGGAATACGACGAGTCTGTGAGCCGAGCCAAAGAAGATGCGCGAATCAATGGGTGGCACTTCGTCAGCAGCACGTCTTGGACCGATTTCGACCACGGCATTCCTCAGGATGTCATGCACGCATACATGGTGGTCGTTGAAGAGGCGCTCGAGATGTTACCAAGCCTTCAGGATATAACCCATGTTGTTGTATGTGGTGGGGTGGGCAGTATTGCGGCAGCCATCTTTTTGGGCTTCTACAAACACTTCAACCAAATTGCTGCGTCAAGCAACTCGAATACGTTTCCGCGCTGTATCGTTATCGAACCGACCGAGGCAGACTGCCTGCTTCAAAGCGCCAAGGCTGGAGAGTTGCGTCCGAGTAACAGCAGTCTGAGAACATTGATGGCCGGGCTCGCATGTCGAGGCCCATCTCCCGCTGCGTGGAAGATTCTTGAATGGCTTACTAGTGATTTTATTGCTGTCCCTGACCGCGTTGCGGTAGATGGAATGATAGCCTTGGCGGAGGGCAAGCATGGTGACATTCCTGTCGTTTGTGGAGAGTCATCAGCCGCGACCATGGGTGTCCTACTCAAGGCGGGCTGTAATGAGGCTTTTCGCGAAAAGCTGAGTCTTGATGCGCGCAGCCAGTGCGTGATTTTCGGTCTAGAAGGAGCAACAGATTCTTCAATCTACAAGGATCTCGTCGGCAAGTCGCCTGACGATGTTTTCAAGGCACAAGATAGATTTTTGCAGCTTCATGAATAGGAGCAAGCTCACATGCTTTGACGAGCCTCGTCTAGTCCACACCTCTCACTTTACAAAGTTCGCGTCCTGTCTTATTGTAAGAGATACCCAGTAGTAGTTCAGCCCTTTACAAACCAACTTCAGAAAACCATGTCTCTTAGGATGAACCCAGAGCTTAGATCTCTGCATCGGTCCTCAAGAAGTTATTCGGAAATTTGAACCCGTTGTCATGCTAAAAGTTTGCTCTGCTATTCTCAGGCTGGGATCGAGCTGCTGTCCGACGATTCACAATTGTGATTGGGAGCCCGTTCGGCGAGGGAGTGCGTTGCCGAGCGTCAAGACCGGGATTGGCCAGGAAGTCCGGCGTGAGTCAATACGACCGGTCGCTCCGCTCCGGCCGGTCAAGGAGCGTTTCGCCGAGCGCCATTCGGTGGAAAGAAGCCGCGCCGATGGGCAAGAGCATTCGCACTAACTATCAACGCCGCATCATGATAGCACAAATCAGCCTCTCCAGAAATGATGGGTTTGACCATTCTGCGACGTTGCTGGAGCTTCCATGTGACCAAAGTTTGTTTGATACATGTAGAGCAGAGTCCGTCGTCTGATGATTTAATGAAAGCCAAAACAATATCGCATCCAAAATTACCGCCTTCAATGCTACTATGAGAGGGACCAACAGCTCACATCCAATCATGAAATCCGCCGTCAACACTCAACAAAAGATAGGCCAATCCCCGGCTGGCGCGGCTGACTTTATGGACCCTGATGATCTGAGGACTGAATTTGCGATGGCAATGTCAGCAATGTATCAGCAAGAAGTCCCGCTATATGGAAACTTACTCGATATTGTGCGCCATGTCAATCAAGATGTCCTCCGCAGAAAAGATAAAGACCTCGCCGTCGACACGGTCGCTATCAGGGCAAGCGCAGAGAGGCTCACGCTTGAACGTCATGGTGCCATTAGGCTAGGCACACCCTACGAGCTTCGGACGGTGAAGCGCATCTTTGCGGTTCTGGGGATGCACCCGGTTGGGTACTACGATTTATCCGTCGCCGGCTTGCCGATGCATGCCACGTGCTTTCGCCCCACGAGCGTACAGAGCCTTCATCGGAACCCGTTCCGAGTCTTCACTACCCTGCTCCGTCCAGATCTCCTCGCCGACGAAGATGCGCGCCAGCTATCGGGGAAGCTGCTCCAGAGAAGAAACATATTCACGGCCGAGCTCCTTGAAGTTCTAGACACTGCCGAGTCCCAGAATAGTAGGCTCACAGAAGAGCAGGCTGCCGTTTTCATTTCCGAAGCCTTGCGAACTTTCAGTTGGCAGGCGGTGGCTGCCGCCACGTTCGACCAGTTCAACATTTTGAAGGCCGAGCATCCTATCTTGGCCGACGTTGCATCTTTCCAGAGCGCGCACATCAACCACCTCACCCCCCGAACCTTGGACATTTCGGCTGTTCAGACTGCTATGGGGGAGGCCGGCATGGCTGTCAAGGCACGCATCGAAGGGCCGCCCATTCGCAAGTGTCCCATTCTTCTGCGCCAGACTAGTTTTCTGGCCCTTGAAGAATACGTCCACTTTAGAAGAAGCGACAGTTCCGGCCTGGTCTTCGCTTCTGACACTGAGGCCGGACTGGTCAAGGCCGGCCATACGGCTCGTTTTGGGGAGGTTGAGGAGCGGGGCGCCGCCGTCACGGATCGGGGACAGGTACTTTACGAACGACTACTGCGAGAAACCATGGAGATGACGGCGAATGCTGGCCCCGAAGAGGCTGATGGACTCGCAAAAGATGTCTTCAAGCAATATCCTGATACTTGGACTGAACTGAGGAAAGAGAGACTGATACATTGCGAATATGTCTGCGTCAGAAAAGTGCCCCCGAACGAGGCCGGGCGGCAACTCGATGAACTCACTCTTGAGCGCCTCATTTCGCAGGGTGTTATAGAAGCACGCCCGATCACTTATGAAGATTTCCTCCCGTTTTCGGCGGCTGGGATTTTCCAGTCCAACATTCAGTCTCGGGACAAAGATGGGCGACCGCTGCAGATGAAGCATCCCAAGCCGGACTTCCCCGGTCTCGTGGAAGCACTGGGGGAGGAGCCAGTGAATATTCAAAAATGGTACTCTGTCATCCAGAATCGGAGCCTAAAGGCCGTGGCGGAGAAGCTGGGGATGACCGCGGCGTGGCCTTGTTGAGAGCAGCTGAGATAGAGGGTGTACTGAGATTACGGACTGGTCAGGCTAGCCAACTGAACTTCATCATCAACATTGCATAAAGGCTTTAGAATTTTGATATATATCGAAACTATCGAAACAAGAGCATGTTTGTTAAGTTCCAACTCGACCTTTCCTATGCATAAGATAGAGAGACAGATTATAACACGAATCTACTTAAACTCTAGTTTCCAAGTCATTAACGTGAAAATTTTACTCTGACGTATAGGATTTCGAACAAACAATCTGATGAAGCTAGTGCTAGTCTGAGAGGCGCGCTGTTCGAGTCCGAACAGGGGCGCGAAGTATCAAATACGTTATCACCAGCTCTTTCTTCTTTGCCTTTCCTTTCCTCCTTTTTCTCCCTTTTTTCGGTTCTCTTTCTTTTCTTGCGAACCATCTTTCATCGGTGTTTTTGAGGCCTGTTAGTTCTATTTATGAGAGACATTGAAGAGCGGGACTCCACTGCTAGGATCGGCTTCACTTAGTTCCTCGGCCGGTAATATGAAACACCGTGGGGAAGCTTGGTCGGTCGTGAACGTACAATGTTCGAGCACACAACACTCAATCTTTTACTAGACACTTCTCTCTAAGCTGCAGGAATAAGTGTGCGTCCAGCAACACTGCGGAACGCGATCGCGGGGTCAAGACAAGATTGACATCGTTTCAAAGCCTGCACTTGTGGCGCTGTAAACAACGTTTCTCGAAGCGACAAGCGATCCTCCCACTAGAGCCACGCCAACCCACAAAACAAGGGCAGAAAAAAGAACAGCCCACCATCCATCCCAAGTTTTCGGGACCGGACGACGGCTGTGGCTGCACCGTTGCCCACCCGTCGTCCGTGCAGACCCACAGACGGGAGCAAACGGCACCGCCTCACCTGTCAACGGTCTGCTCCCGATGCTTCCCGGTGAACGGGCGACCAGGCGTACCATCAGAACCCCCAGGCCCGGCTTTCCCGGCCGCAAGGCATCCACAAGATCTAGGCAAACCAAAGATCCTGTCGTATCCTGACTCGTGCATTCAGCCAGACATGGATGTCGCGCTTCCTACCAGCGTCAGCGGCTCTGCTTTGTCAGAAGTTGGAGCGAATCATCATCGCGCGGTCGGTCATTTGATTGCCCCGATTGAAATCGTGCCGAGGAGGAGCAGATAGATCTACGTGCTTCCCCCTGAAACCAAGACCTGAACAAATCAAAAGCTCCGGGATTATGTTTCGCTTGACAAAGTGCCGGTTCGCCTGAGTCTCTGGGGGCCAACCATGAAAGCGTACTGGCTGGCTAAATTCCAAACGGCTGCGTCTCGGGCCTAATACTCAGCTGGGAAGAAAACTATGCAGGCTAAAGGCGACGAACTCGTTTTTGGACTCATCACAATGTCTCTGAGCCTCTCATTCCTGAGAGCGTAAATGGCCAGCGATGTCATCGGTCCTTGTTCGGCCGAGTTCTCCTCGCCCTGTAGGGCGTGCAGGGATAGCGTACTCCAGGTATGCGGCCCACTAGCAATTACCTTAGCACCGTCGCGGGGTTCAGTGGGGAAAATGGTGCAAGGTCTGGGTACCTTCCTTGTAAACACTAATGCCAATCTCCATTCTCCAGCCTAGGATGCCCACTGCCCACTCTTCGTAGTGGGAGGAAAGTCGTGGGGGGAACAGAAGGTCTAGGATTTAGCAAAGCGGAGTACATACTGGTTGGGAGGTTGTTTGGAATGGTACCAAGGTAAGGTAGATCGATAAGCACCACCCAAATGTACGAGACCTTGACTTGACCAAGTAAAAGCAAAGTTTGGTTGGGGTCCAGGACCAGGATGTCGAAGATGGGCCGCGCGTGCCTTTCCGCTCGGCTTCGCGGATCGCCGACCAATGACCCACGGCTCCTCTTGGCAGGAGCCTTATTCCGTGGACTCTGCAGTCGAGACGCGCGTGTCTTTCGTGGACACTCGCGCGCTTTGCGTCACCAATGTCCAAGGCGCTTCGTATCGGGCCTTTTTCCGCCTTTGCGTAATGATGAGTCGTCGTCGGCGCGGCGGGGTGTGCAAGTGACATGAAAGAGTAGAGTCGATACGAAGATCGTGTGTTTTTGTGGCGCCTTCCTCGATCGTAGATTGCGATGCACGGGTCGTCGTGGGCTTCGGTTCTTGAGCGGTTGCACAGGGTCGGTTGACTTGTGAGGGGGCCAGAAGGAATCTCAGAAAGAGGGGGGTATTCGGTCTATTCTCAGATAAAAGAAATTTCAAAGCGTTTTATACATGACATTCCACCAAGCCTTTGGTATACTCTAGCGAACACTGAATATTGATACATCCTTCCCTGGTTACATAGTACTAGAGAGACCGAGCCCCATGAGTTGTTCTCTCTAATTTTGACAAATGAAGGAACGAGGAACGACATTATTACAGGGGCCATATGAAAGACAACGAGATTGGGCCAGCCAAAAGGAAAATATGGTGACAGGTTGTAGTGTACATGGGGTCTTGGTATGGTGGCGGGTTTACTCGAGCGCACGAGTGCTTCGTTGTAGTCGTTCACGGGAGCTTCGCGAAGCATGGACCAAACTTTTCTTTGGGATTCTGAGAGGTGGGTTGGGCATCGTGGAGGCGGGAAAATAGATCATCTTCGTTGTCCTTCTTGTATCTTTCGAGACGGCTTTCTCGGGAGGCTTTTCCGTCGGAGGGATGCTTCTCAGCAGCCTTGCTGCTGCTGCCGCCAGACGTCAGTCACTGGCTAAGGAGAGTCTGTCTAGGACGGTTGAAGTAAAGAGGCAGTGTCTTACGAGCTTCCAGCATGGTTATCCTGAGAGGATGTGTGGCTGGCAGGCATGTTGACGATGCTGCGTATTTCTTAACGAGAGCTGAAGTGTACAGAGAAGGTGACGATCGTCAACCGTAGTGACGAAGATGAAGCTAAGGTGTTGTTCAGAACGAAGACGTAAAGTACTCTTTGGACGGATGATGAGGAGATGCCGGACTACTTAGAGGCTATCTAGAGAGTAATAGAGAGAGTATAGAGCGACAGAGTGATTTCACATTGTAGGCTGAGTGGCGGATGATAGAGTTTAAGTAAATGAAGGTAAAAGTGTTGCTGGAAACAAGAGAGTCGCTGGCGGCCCAGATCTGGACGCCTTCTGGAAGCGGTCAAGAGGGCGGAAAGTACGCGGGGGGGAGATCACTCAGAGATTGGCGAAGGGCGACAGCGGCCAAGGCATAGACTGCGGCACTGAGTACCGAGAGATCTGGGTGACGGCTGCTTGAACACGCCGTTCATCTAGAGAAAAGGCAGGGGGGAGGTGGGATTACGGACGACCGTCCGGGATACTTGGCGACTTTTCCGGTACCCAAGTTCCCGTTTACTGAAAGTGCAGGTATTTTGATATGTTGAGACCGGCATTTGGCCTCGTGCCTGACTGCCAGAAGAACTTGATTTGGTTTTCGTTGTGCCCTTAAGCACCTAATTTCCCTGCCTGCAGGATTAGCGGTGGGAGAGACTCAGGAACAGAGTCGTGTACATCGTTGAAGAGGTCAAGCAGTGGCAAATCTGACAGGTGCAATTCCGTAGGATGCATCAGAGTGAGACGCAGACCTCATTTCTTCTAGGGGGCTGGTGAAAGGGGAAAGACATGGTGGAGAAACCTTTGAGGGAAAGGGTGGTGCGGATGCGGGAAAAAGGGTGTTTGGGGTGTGAGGAGAGGAAGCAACACAAAGGTCGGCAGAAAGTGGATAATGATTGTGCTTGACAGGTAATTAGGTCGTGTCCCGACCTAAGGTGAGGTGTCTACAGAGCAACAAGACCATCCTGGGAAAAGCCCCCAAATTGGACGGGGATGATCCAAAACTTTGCTCGTCGCAATTGCGACCGAGAAGCTTGCAGGCAGACTACTGCAGGGATTTTCTTCTGTCTTGTTTTCCACTTGGAGAAATGGCACCCCATGGGCCAAATGTGTCGAGTTCACGCTCAGTGCATCCTTGAAGGAGAGAACAGGGCGGGCTCCATGAATTGCGGGGGAAAAGGGCGACAATTTTCTGGTAGCCTCACACCCAGATGCGTCTTGCTGCGCATCGGGCGCAGACCTGGTGAAGAAGTCCTTCAGTGCGGGAGGCTTGGTGCTAAAGGCGCTCAATGCTGAGAAGCGGTGAGCTTTCGAAGAGGCCAATCGTCTACCTCGCGCGCCACACTGCGTAATCGAGGTTGCCGATAACTAGAAATGATTGAGAAGGCTGTGAGCTGCTTCTGGAAGAACTGGGTGGGGGGCGTTTGGTGAAGGAGACCGTTCTCCTACTCGGGCAACCACTCGTAGAGGGCGCCATAGGATGCTTGTCCTCGTTCGTGGGTCCCGGATAGCAGCGGAGAGCGGGCTGGTCATCGATCAGCCCGCAATCGTCAAGTTGAGGGCGGGCGTAGCTGGAGGCGAAGACGGGAGGTGAACGCTGGGTCTGAGATGGACGGGCGATGGTAGAGCGAGGTTTGGTGGTCGAATTTGGCCCCTGTAGCTACCTGGCCAGGGTAGATAGCGTCATTCATTAGGAAAGAAATACAACGGAGTGAACAACTCACGATCAGCAGATTAGATTCGAAACAAGCCAAAGTTGCCGTAGGTCTTTGGGGTTAGTCGAAGGGATCAAGGCAGGGTTGTCGCTCCGGGTCATAATCCGTGTCCGTACTGGCGGAGGCGACCTTTGGAGAAAGCACGCTACCTTTGACTGACGGGTGCCAGGCAAATTTGTTGAGATAAGGCCGTGATAGCGTGAAAAAGTGACTTGAGGTAGGGCGGGCTGAGAGCTGAGCCCGGTAAAGCCGCGACATGGCGATGAAAAGGGCGGAGACGAAGTCGGCTCGGATGGAACCATGCGAGAGGACGGGGCGGAAAGGACGGACTGCCCTTGAGGAGTAAGTAGGTACCTTCCGTGTGGCACCCGGGGCAGGAAAGTGCAGGGTCATCTGCTTCCTCCTACCTGCCTTGCCTTGCTCCAAATTTTGGATAGGTACCTGAGGTACCAGATGTTTTGTGCCAGACGGGATGGAAAGAGCAGCAGGGTTGGGGAACGGATGGGGTGAGATGGAAGGACCACAGTGGTGAGTGTTCCACTTTGGGGTTGGAGACGTACCTCAGGCAGGTCAGATCCAGTAAACGTCCCATCCCTGCTTTTTGGCCATCTGAATTCACGCCCATCCATCCCTACCTCTTGTCTTTTTCAAGGGCCACCCATGTTTTGAGCTTCTACCCTCTTCTGGACGGTTGTCCCGGCCGAGCTCTCGACGATCCTCCTCATCCTGACCATCTCCATTTCGTACGCCTGCACGGTCTGGTATCCGTACCTTACGGATACATCTGGTCTCATCAGCATCAAAAGTACGTATTTGATTGTCTCGTGCGGCATGCCTCAGGCACGGATGCATATCTCCGGCCCAGCAAGACCAGGGACTCGCAATGTCGTAATCTCCTTCACCTTGTCAACTCTCCCCCTGTCGGATCCTAGACTTTGACACTTAGACTTGACTCCAGGCTCTATCCGCACGGCACCTCCCTCTCCAAGCACCCCGGGACCTTTGACGCCAAGTTAGAGGTAAATCCTGACCGGCAACAGTAAACATCCGAGCCCTGTATGTACGCAACAGGATACCTTTCAACCCGACATCCTTGACGGCAATGCCACGGTGCCACGTGGCATACAATTTCTCTGAGTCCTTAGCTCAATACCTAGGCCCTGTCATCGCCTTGTCGACACACTACCTTGCCCTAGACACTAAAAAGAGGATCCCCAAAGAAGCCTACTGCGTAGAAGCTATGATGCATGACATCTCGCCCACATCAGCGCGAGCTGGACGCACTACGCTTTTGTCCGCCATCTTTTTGGTCCTCTGCTACGGTGCTTAGATGCGTCGTCAAAGTGTGCAATGAGCCTGTCCAGCCATCTGAGCCTGGTCTGCCGTCTGAACTTGAGATTAGTGTCAGGAATGCATCGGGTCGTGCAGCCCTAGCGACACACCCAGGTTGGCCATGACTTGATGGTCAAGATACATCTATAAGGTGTTTCTATCTTGCTCATAGCTGACGTTAGTGGCAGAAAATCCGCATGATATTGTTTGACCGAAACAATCCCAGCCGCGGAATGTCAGACTCGGTAATGATCGCTCAACATCAACATGTTCCATGTTCTTGCACATGGATTGTGTGGCGCCTCTGAAGTACCGTTCGAACCCGAGTAACTGGACCAACGGAATACCGCGTCACGCCGTTATGCAAGCAACCGTAGACCATAGAGCAAATGCGAGAACCACGTTCAACAACGCAACGCCGACTCACTTACCAGGCGTACCTGATGACCCTTACTATAGTCGAACCAGCTCCCTAAAGATTCCGCTGCGAATGTGTCCCCACGACGCGGAAGACCGAGATGATCTCTTTCTTTCAATCCGCCTCTCCGCCGCGACTGGGGTTATTAATTACATGGTGGCCGTGCATCATGCGGCCGTACCAACACGCCAAAGTTTTGCCCACCGGTCCTGCCTGCTGGGCTGCAACCACCATCCCTGACCGGTCTTGGGTTCACCAGCCCATCGAAATATGGCCTCTCCACCTCTTGGCCGCTATCGAGCTAAACAACAAATCTTACCAATGAAAAGGCCCTAGGACTTGAAACACGCCACATCCATGAAGCATGTCCAAAGCCCGCCATGGACATTCTGAAACCTAACAACCAAGACAGCCTCGTATCTTCCACGCCATCTGGCGGTGAGTGACGAAGAGAAAAGTGACATTTCCACCGGGCACCTTCTTTGCAGATCGATAAATGCAATCGACCGTTTCCGTACAGCTCGCTTGTTCTTCATGGATCGATAGCGGGCCTTAGTTTTACTTTTTCCAATTCTGCACTTTCATCATTGCTTTTTTTTCTTGACGGCCGTGGGACCTACATGGGGTTGACCGCTGCTTTCCGGGCTTGGGACAGCCACTTGCCAGATATTGCGAGGCAAGAGAGGCAACAGGCATCTTGATCTTTTTGCGGCTGTGCTGGTCACCTTGACAGCACCATGTTCGATTCTGACTATGAACTTTTACGCCCAGATCACGACGAGCTAGTATCTGACCGGTTCTCATCTTTTTGAGCCTCAGGAGCTTACCCCTGAACACCTGCACTTTCTGGTGTCACCCTTCGATACAAGGGCAAATGCCGGAGCGATCAAGCAAACATCTCAGAAGAACACCGCGGCCCCTGGGGAACACCCTCGCAAAATGCGCCCGCGGGAGCGGCGAGAACGGGTGCGCCGTCTGGCTCCCCTGCTGTGCCGCAATATGCCGACTCGAAGCGGGCGCGCAGGCTCTCGACCCCTGGCTCCTCAGTCACTATCACTTGTCGGACTCTTTTCCAGTCTAGATGGTTTCGTGAGTGGGTCACTCACAAAGCCACCCAAATGGGACAAGTGCAGCTTACGCCTCGCTTCTATCGTGTTGCGGCAAATGACATTCTTGCCGCTCCCCCGCGCTTCTACAGACCGCTACTCTGGACTTCGATCCAGAACAGGATGCAAGATCCTGCCGGTCAAACGCCTCGCTGCGCAACACCTTTTATGTACTTGTTGATACCTAGCGACTACACATCCACTTCATCGGTCAATACCACGCCAAGGCAGGCTTTCTGGGAGCTTTGCTGAGGTATCATTGCCGACCTCCAAGGATTCTCGGTTTTCGATCGTCCGACTATATGAAGCTACTTCCAGTGGACACTTTGTGACTGGTCAGTATGGCCATGCATTTTCATGGGCAGTATTTCTATGACCTCTTTGATTGTATCGACTCTTTTGTATCCTGGCCAAAGGTTGGCGCATCGGCCACGGATCTTTTGGCGAATCAATGCTGATCAAAGTCTGACAGCTTCCTTTGTCAGACACCGTGTCTGTGGACACACAAAGACCCTGGAGAAACAAACTCGAACACAATGTCTCCGTACTTTGTGCTCCAGAAACAAAGCATTATGATCAAGGTATGAGGCCCGAGTAGTCCAGATTCTTCGAAGAGAGTCTTTATAAGTCCAAAGGTTTACCGGCTGTTATTTGCTCTTCTCTACTCTAAAACAACTCAGACATCAAAAGCCAACGGCCCACATACACTCACACAAACATATCAGGTAAAACTCCAACCCCAATCTCTGCTAACATCATTCACAGAACCAACCCCCAAATATGCCTCCTAGCGAACTCCTCAGAGACATGCTCGTCTCCCGCGAAGACTACGGCGACTTCGGCGGCGTCAACTGCGTAGGGGTCAAGCGCCTCCTGGTAGGCCTCGTCGCCGTATCAACAATCTGCATCCTCGCAATCTACCTCGCAGTCCACTTCCGCATCTGCCTCGCTCGCGACAAGAAATCCTTCCGCTCCCTGGCCATTGACTTTGAAACACTCGGAAAGGTCCACGCGACGCTCAAGAACCAGCACGAATTCATCCGCGAGGACTGTCGCAACTTGCAAATGACGCTCGACTTTTACATCAAGGAGTACGGTCGGCATCCGCGCCATAATCAGTTGCGGTTTGAGCCTGGGCAAGGGAAGCAGACTTCAGGTGTGACTGATGTCGTCAACTCTCCTTCGGGTAATAGACACTTGCGTGAGGACGAGGATGTCTTCGTGGTTGAAGAGCCTTCGCAGGAGGATTTGAATGGTGGGGTTGAGGAGGGTGATGTTGCGGATGGCGATCGTGTTCCGCGGTTCAGCGAGGAGGAGAAGAAGAGGAAGCAAGGTAAGGTGCCGCGTATTCAGGCTATCGCAGCTGGAATGCAGGATGTTCCGCTGACTCCTCCCATTCAGGGGCAAGGTAGTAGGTAGGTTCATTCCTGGATAATATCCAACACGTGCCGTCACTCGCTAGGTCCTGTCAAAGTTCTGCATCTCATAGGAAAAAGCTTCTTGCGTTTGAAATCATTGATATATTGTTCTAATCTAAGCTCGTGACTTGATCTGCTGCTTGACTTATTGAAGTTTAGTCCGACACAGCTCGAGTATTCCTGCTATGAAATCTCATGTTCCGTCAAGGACCACCGAGATCCTCTGTATTCGTGGCAGCTCTCACTATCTTGGAAGCCATCACATAAGGTATGCCCGTCCTTCTTAGGGGTTCCACTCCCGTTAAAGCCCCAATTCCGCTTCAACGTCTCAACTATAAAGAGGACAAATTGTTAGAATCCGCTACGTTCTCTCTCATCGCCCTATCAGTGGCTCGGTCTTTGTCGTCTCGAAGCTGTTGTTCGCATGGAAGCCCATGGCCAAGCAGCCGCTGAACTTTCTAGCCCGTTTCAAAGTTCATTCAGCTCTGTTATCAGCGTGTCCTCCAGTGCTCAGCACGGCGCCTTGATATTGTATCCGGTCACAAATACGTTAGGGAGGTATCAGAGAACTAGGAAGTGAAATCTTGAAAAAAAAAGTCCTCGCCGGAGGAGGAGAAACAGGTCAACCACGAGGCAAACCACCTACCCGCTTCTGTCAACCCCTCGGACTCATCGGAAATGCCGTCTTCCTTCGCTAGGAGTGTGTTTTGGAGTGCTCGACATGCTATGTCAATAATGTCTCTAGTCACAAATATGTTAGAGAAAGTTGGAGGAATAAGGAAGTACTGTGGTTGAAGGGTTTCACATTGCAGTCATAATAAGGGGGCATTACAAGATAGACTAGGAACCTGCTTCGCTTGACTCTTCTACTCGATCTAGAACTTCATGTTCCTTTCCTAAAGGTGTGTCTTGAAGTGCTTGGCACGCTATCTCAATAAGTTTAACGTATCGGGTCACGAATACGTGAGCGAGAGACAGAGATCAGAAAGTAAGATTATTAACGAGTTTCACATTACGGTTGCAACTTGCAGGAAGGGTTTAGTTACCAGATAGGGGTATAGGGGCAGTGCACACAGTCTCACTGCGCGATACAAGCCCCCGCGCCCGTTGTTCCGCCAAGACTGGCTCCAGCACTGATCGAGAAGCCTTCGAGGTTCTTGATGAATGTGCTTTATACAGAGGCGGCGCAAACTGAGAAGGAGAAAGCAGCAAGAATATACCAAAGCTACATTCTCAGCTTGAATATAAATCATGCTCAAGATGGAGCCTTGTCTTGCTAATCGTTCTTATCGAAGCCACTAGTGCTCATTATGTCATTAACCTCAAAGGTGCTACGTAGCTTGGATGGGCAAGAGGTACTCGAAGTGGCTGTGGACTACGACGGTAGCAACGCTTTCCCACTCTTGAACTATTCGTGAACGAACGTAATAGAAGTCGTGACGGGAATAGCAATCAAGAGATCTCATAACATCCTTTCAGTGTTCAGGACAGGTTGAACACTGTGTGTGGTTGGCTCGACTCTCCCGTCCCAAGTATAAAGGTGCACCCAAAGTTTAAGTCGGGCGTTGTAGTTGCGTACCTTTCGATTGAGGCCGGGGCTTTACCTTATGTTGTACCACGTGTAGTTGGGTGCCGGTTGCCACTTTTGCCTGCTCGAGGGGTTTCCTCTTCACAAATGCGTGCACAGGTGCCAACCACAGAAATGTGTGATGAGACAGGCGTCTGAGATAGAGAGCGTTGATGGTACAGATAACCTAAGGTTTGTTGAACAATTACAGCCAAAGAATGAGAGTCTCTTAACGCAATGTCACAATGAAAACGAATAAGCTGGTCTTCACTTTCTATTGAAGAAAGATGTGGTCCGAGCTTGAGCTTTCAGAAATCAAGGTCTCGACGACTCGAACTCTCAAAGACCTGGCCACGTTTGAGGTCGAATGGGTGGAAGAAACAAGAGAACAAAGAGCACAAGACTCGGAGAATTCCCAATACAATGTCGTCTTTCACTCACAGCCAACTCGGCCAGCCTCCAGTCTTGGTCCTCGAGACAAGGCATTTGTGAACTCGGCCTCTTGTTCAGTTCCTGGTCACAAGGAAAAGAACAAGAAAGCCTGCTGCGGATGAAACGTGTTTGGAAGACTTCACTTCGATGGAACTTGAAGAACTGTACTTCTGGAAATTGTTTCTATATAGGTTCTGGTTGTAACCCAGTCATTGATGCAACTTTTTCACATCCTCATCACACACTTCGTCATCAATAAGCTTATATCAGCAATTTATACAGGTGAGAGCTCCCTCGACATTATTTGCTAACATAAAGGCAGGCCCCAGATTCAGGTCTCATCTCCTCTCCCATACAAGAACGTTCTGTCCTTTCAACTCTTCTTTGGAAGCGAGTCTAAGGCGGCTTGTGCCATGCTACATGTACCCAGATCTCTCCGGTTACTGCTTGTAAGTCGCGTCATCCCTTCAGCTCACTGACAGAAATTAGGCCCTCGACGAATCGACGTAAGCTTTCATCACTTGATCGCACCTGCCACTTGTGAGTTCTCCAATCCCTTCGGTATCCGCTAACCATCGCAGCGCCTGAAACCCTTATGGGCCACAACGGCTGATCCTCAAGGGGGTCACCTTTCAGCGTACGTTCTCCCTCCCCTCCTCTGCTAACTTGGGCAGCAATTTGGACCATCGCCTCTGGAACTCGATGCTATTCCTTCAAGTTCGAACTCGAGTCTCTTGCATCCTTTTCTAGAATACTAATCATAGGCTCTTACTAACACAGACGAATGCCGCATTGGACCTGTCTTTATCTCATAAGTCACCCTCCGTTTCCTACTTCGTATCTAAACAGATTTAGAACTTGATGTCCCCATGCCATTTAGTATCCGTATTCAAGTTATCCGTAAGTCCTCCCTCCCCCGTCACGCCAACAACTCCAGGGTGACTACTAGCCTAGCTTTGCATCTGTCATCTTTGATTCTGTGAGTCTTCTACTTCCCCTTATTCAACACTAACCATAGGGCAGACATCACGCATCGATTCACGTCATATTAGACCACAACTATGGCCAGGTAGACTGTAAGTCTCTCTAGGCCCCTCTAATACGCTAAAATCAATCTTCTCCAGGTCTCTTGCAACAGAATATCAAGTACTCAGGCGCTTCAGCGATAAGTAGGTAAGCACCCCAACCCCTGATACTGACGCGGAAGCCTAGAACCAAACCCTACATCATCAAAGGCGCATCTACCGACGATAACTACACCCCAAGATTCCGCGGAGTACATAGGCGATCGGGTAAGTACTCCTATTCTCGTAAGTTGTCGGCTGACGTAATAGCCCGAACGACGAATCCCCTGGGGTCTTGAGCCCTCAAGACGAAGAACACGAAGCTTACAAGCTGCGGACCGAAAAGCTCTGTACCACCACGGCGATCGATCTGAACGATACGACCGATACGACCGATACGAAGCGAGCCGATTCCACCGACCGAATGCACATGAATAATGGTAAATGATCTGAAAGAGCCGGGATATCTGTTTGTCTTTGTTTTTGTCAGAGGAGTTGGTGGAAGGCTTGTGGATGCTTGGTGGTTTAAAGGGGACATACCAGGCTTGGAAGAAAAAATGGGGCAAAGGGATCAAGTTCGGGCAATATTGCTCAAGTCGGCCCCTTGCAGCAGAGTGCTCGTCATCGAGACAGCTTGGATAAATACGAGGCATACACTCTTTGTTATCAAAATGGAAAATTCATCTCATTTTGATCAATGGGGATGAGAAAATTTCAATACCTAACGCCCTAAAGTTACAGAAAGCTCTAGCAAGATATCCCTTTGAGGCCGTAGCAGCCATTATTCATCTCGTCGTAGCCAGTTTAAAAGAACTTGCTCTTCAGCCCTCCCAGGACCACATTCCTCTTCTGCTTGTTGATGTATTTGCCAACGTCGTCCGCCCAGCCTTGGCTCTGATTTTGCAGACTATCCATGTTATCGCTCATGATGTTCAGCTTCTCCGTGCGCTCGTTAAGCTGCCTCGTCAGATAATCGCCCCAGCCTTCGTTAGATCCTCCCGCATTGTTCGAGCCGGGCTGGCCTGCAGAGCGGGCAGCTCTCGCTTCAGCTGCCGCGGCGGCCATCATCCGCCGGCTTGGCGGGCGATTGGGGTCGATGAGGAGGTCGAGGTCTGTCGGGGAGATATGCTGCGTGCCGGAGAGCCACTGCATGTTCGAGATTGTAGGGCGCGGGGGTGTGACGAGCTCGGGGTTGACGAGAATGTCGTCGCTCATCTGAAGATCTTTGCCAGTACCCCAGACATTGAGAACGGCAATCTCACTGGGCCCAGTCCAGCCGAAAATGTCGCCAGTCTGAGTCACTACGGACGATAGAGTGCGACTGCCATCGAGCATGGGAAGCGGCGCGTTGCCAATTTCCTTGAGACCAGGAATGGAGAATGCACGAGTCGTTCGGTCACCAAAAACACCGACAATGGCGAAGCCGTGAAGCTCAAACTCAGTGACGTTGGCTGCATCGCAGAGGATGTCGTCAAAGGTCTTGGAAGCGCCCTTCCCGCCGGCGGGCTTGAAGATTCGAATTTCGGTTTGTGTCACTAGTCATTTGTCAGTATCAGCCAGCGCAAGAAGTGTCGTACCCAAGGGGCTTACCAGCAACGAGAACACCATTAACCTGCTGCCCGTTTCTCAGTCCCGCTACGATTGGACCTGTTGCAAAAGCAGGTCTTCCAGAGTCTGCTTGGATGGGGCAGAGTGCCACTACCTGCCCATCAAAATGTTGGACGCCAGCTAGCTTGACGGAGTAGCTATTTCCAGACGGTAACAGCTTGAACGTGGCTACTTTGCCGAGGTTCGTTCCCACAAAACAACAGATGCTAGAGTAGTTGTCGCCTTCTAACGTCATGACGCTAAACTCAATGGCCACCGGCCACTCCTTTCCATGGGCGTTCCCATGAGACCCTTTCAAGAAAGAAGATCTCTTGGATTGCTGAGCGAATT